TAGTGGAGCCCCAAAGCTCAATTCCGTAAGTCCAAATAGGTCTTATTATTGTCATATATATGAGTCGTTTGTAATTGATTGTGAGCTTAGAGTGTTTGTCTAGTAAGTGCTGCAGTAGTCGAAAACGTCGGGCGGTTTCAAGTCGTTTCAGTCTGGTATGGGGGTAAAAATAAATTTAAAGCTTCATAATTGTTTGAAACCAACATGTTTACAAATTTCAAAAAGTATCATTGCTAGTTAGTTATTAAACTGTTCTTTTCCATTCTAAAGTTTACAAAAATGAAATTACGAGATTTTCATTGTCTGCCATAGATATGTCAAAAGTTGTCACATACATAGTGGGCCAGACTCCCCTATCGTGCACCTCCCCTACATCCCTATAAATTGCATATCGTTGTGGTCCTTGTAACTTATTTAAAAAAGCCAATGTTCCCACAAAATATGGTGAACGCACTGCCCCAAAATGGCGTCCAAAAATGGCGGTTGACGACTTTGACTTTAGTTAGTTTTTTGGTCACTGAAAATCAGCATTTGGCTTAATTTCGTCATAGTTGGTCTTATGTTAAAGCTGAATAGTCACAGAACAATAAAACAAGAAAAATATTTAAAAATGCCAGGCTTAGACAATAAAAAACATCAATAAATTCAAAAATTTTAACAAAAAAATTTTCAAGTTGAAAATAAAGCGTCGTTTGTAATTAAACGGCCAACAATAACGCAAAATGGGCTGAAATAAAACATCTGGAGAATATATTTCTCTTTCCAAAACACTGATTACTTTTAAAAATATTTGAAGGAGTTCCGTAGAAAATGCACCTAAGCGGCAGAAAAGCGGTACTGGCGTGGTTGCCTACAGAACTCTACCACACCATTCAGCACTCATAAATGGCTTAGTTATAGTCACTAGCGGATCCAGGATTTAATTTTGGGGGGGGGCTTCAGCCCGAAAGATTTTTTTTTTCGTATACATATAACGATAATTAATTTGAAAAAAAAAGAAATAAATTAACTACCTATATGAAATGTTGTTTTAGTGGTTCTTGAAGTCTTATTAAATGTAATTACACGAACAAGAATACTTTAAGAGATAGTTTATCATATTTTTTCTGTAAAACATAGTTATGTTTTACCATTTTTGGGGGGGGGGGGGCTTCAGCCCGAAAGCCCTCCTGCAAATCCGCCAGTGGACCTAGTCTATAACATCCACACTATCTGTTGTCTCAATCGATCTGTGATAAACTGAAGTGGACGAATTATCCTGTAATGTACCAGTACTTCCTAATTTTCTAAAACATTTTGTTTCACTAACTCCTTTGCGTTGTTGAATGTGTGAGGCAGATTAGAAGTTACATCGGCGAACCATCATGGAAAGAGGAAGGGAATATAGAATAGTAACACATCACTTCTTTATCGATAAATATATTGTAACATTCCTCTTATATTTGACAAATAATAATAATAATAATAATGTAACCTCAGAAGATCACTTTATACTTTTAGGATACTTCCAAAAGAAATAAGAGGTTGTTAAATAAAAAACAAAATTATAAGAGTATTAATATATTTATTTATCTCAGGTGTGGGTTACTGACAATCAGATCAACTCAGACAAACTATTATTATTTACACTATTTATATTAAAATTAAACCTTGATTTTAAAATAAATTCAAGTATGAATTGACAAGCTAACCTTTTTTCTACATACAATGTCTCTTTTTTTGTGGCACTGAACTCATTTGTCTTCACACATTTTCTTATGTTCTGCCAAACACATATCCCAAAATGGTAACACTATTCTTCCACTCAACTCGAGAAATCCCCAACAACTATTCTCCCTGCCAAACAAGATCTTCTAAGATGCTATAACTATTACTGGGTTTTATCCACTGGAGCCAGTATAGGATATCTTGTCTTAACCTCTATTCGCTGCAGTCACACAACAACTGTTTGCCAAAACAAAAACCTTTGTCCCTCTTCTCTTTGGGATTTTCCTTCTTGGGAAACTACAGAGTAGCCATTTTCTTTTCTCTGCACTAGTAGAACTAGATTAGATTGCCTTTTAATTGTTCAAAATTAATTTATTAAAACCTTTTTACTCACATCCAATAAAGGTGTACATTACAATATTCACTTTTTTAATATGAAAAAAATGTTTATAGATTTAAACGCATCGGGAACATTAAGTTTGTCAGTTATAAATATGGATGTATTCCTATGACAGAGATCTGAGAGAAAAACAAATTTTCATAACCTCTTTACATGAAAAATAATTTTAAACAATTTTTTTATATTAATAAAAAGTGAATTTAGCCAATTACGTTATTGCAATACATCCCAGATCATGGGAAAACAAGAAATAAAAGCTTTACAAGAGTTAAACAAAAAAAACATTACATAATACCAACATAATAACAAGACATTACACAATACCACGAATACATGGTCTCAGTAAATTACATAAAAATGACAAACCTCTTAGACCAATTGTAAACAATATAAATGGCATAACAGAAAAATTAGCGAAATTCCTAAACTCAGCCTTGTACAATTTTAACAATAATAATAGATATGATGAAAATAATGCAATGCAAGTAAAAGAGAAAATTAACAGTATAAATAAGATAGATGAAAACGAAAAATTAGTAAGCTATGACACAGAATCCTCATTTACGAACGTTCCACTTAATGAAATATATAAAATATTGGAAAAACAATGGGATGAAATTGAACCTTACACAGATATAAAAGATAAAAATGTTTTTATGGAAGGAATTAAATTAATTTGCGAAAATGGCTATTTCTTCTATAATAATAATTATTACAAAATGGAAAATGGTCTACCGATGGGTGGATGTATGTCAATTAATCTTTCGGGCATATATCTGAATAATCTAATAGATATTGCTATAATTAAATTGGAAAAAAACCGAAGCTTATTATAAAATATGTGGATGATATACTTACAATAATAAACAAAAATGAATCTGTTATTTTTCTTGATAAACTAAATGATGTATCAAATAAACTTAAATTCACGATGGAAATTGAGAATAATAACAAAATAAGATATATTGACAGAAGCGAAAGTGGCGATCTTAATCTGGTGTAAAAAAACAATAACCAGTAATAGAATCCTAAATTGGCACAATAACCACAAAAAACATATAATAATTAAAACAGCTAAAAATTTAATAGACAAGACAAAATTAATAACCAATAAAAATCATATGAAAGAAATCAAAGCACAAATATATGAAATACTATTAGAAAACTGGTACCCTATTCGATTAATAAATAAATTTTGGTATAAAAATAAAAAGTTGGTTAAAAATGACAATTGTAACAAACTGATAAAAGATATTAGAGATGATAAAAGTGAGAAAGTAAACAAAATAATAACATTAATAAAGAACCGAATTTAATAACAAATTATTTTAAAACTGAAAATACACTAAAACAAAAACCTTCCATGAATGATATACATGACATTAAGACACAAAATGAAAAATATAGTAAAAAGAAACAACAACCTAAAAAATATTTTAGCATCACTTATATTAGAAATTTAACGGATAAAATATAAAGAACATTTAAACAACATGATGTAAATGAAATTAAATTTGCAAGCAAACCAATTAATAAAATAGATACAATTTATTCCAAAACTAAAGATAAAGTACCTACCGATAAATTAACGAATATTATTTATAAAATTGCAACAACAAATCATATTTTGGACAGACATCACAATGGTTTGAGAAAAGGCTTAAACAACACAAACAAAATTGTAATTAAAAAAACACAAAAATAAAATTAGCTACTGGACTCTCTCAACATACTATGCAAACAAAACATGAATTTTATTTAAAAAACGCCAAAATCCAGCATTATGAAAGAAATATGAATAAACATAGAATAAAGGAAGCAATATACACAACTAAAAATTTAAAAAACTCGGTTAATAATAATCATACAGACGTGGATAATATGAATACATTTTACGTGACTTGAATTGAAAAAATCAAAATTTGAAATGAATTCGCTAATATTAATTAAAATACGTCCGCATATAATATTGGAAAACATCATTGTATATGTTTATAATAGTCTTCCCCTACTCCTTTAAGAATAACCAGTCACTGAATAGAAATGAGACTGATAAGGTAATTTTAACTTATTTGAATTAATTAATAAGAAAGAATGGAGTAATAATAATGTTATATAATAATTAAAGGTGGACGTGACAAGAATTAAAAAACAATTTTTTATGAGTAGACGCATACAATTCGCATAAGTGAAAAGGACAGGTACATGATGGGCATTTTAGGTATATAAAAAGAATCTTGATATTTTTTGAAATATATGTTTGAATATGATTGTAAATTGAAAATTTTTTTTAGATATAAAAATGGCTAAACGAGCCGAAACATCGTAATTAGATGTGTAGTCATTAAGTTGACAAAATTGGCTGATAATAAATAAACTTGAAAAAAAAACATTAACTTAAGAAAACTCATCTGATTTCCTACTTTTCTGAAGAAAATTGGCACATTATTTATATACTTTTTTGTTGCTCTTCAGAGGTCTATCACTTATAAAAAATTTCCCTCTACTTACGGGACATTCTGTATAAATCAGATTATTTAAAATTGTCGGTTACACTGTCAGTGGATAAAAATAATATGGTCAAATCACAACTAGAAGTAGTTAATTAAACATTTCCCGAAATGTTAAACGATCTAAAGAAATAAGATAAATCAGAAGGAAGTACAATTACCAACTTCATCTGTATAACAAACAAAAGAAACAAGACGAAATTTAGAAAATATGTTTATTTTTGGACTCTGGGTCAAAGAGCTGTGAAACACAAATCATTTAAAACTGAAAACATTTACAATATGGTTACAATACTTTTCTTAGCAGTGGTAGGAAAGTAAAAAGGTTTAAAAAAAAAGAAGGAAAAAAATACAAAATTAACTTTGTTTTTATCATTTTTATTAAAATAAAACAAAAATATTTACACTTTTTTTATATATATACAAATTATAATATTTAAATAAGCAATATCAAGTAGGTATTGCTTTTGGTTTTTTTGTGAACTTTTTGCCAGCTCTTTTCTTTTTCTTGAAGGTGAATTGCTTTTTCTGCTGCATTCCTTCTGTCTCTATTTCCATTCCCGTTAATTCGGCAGCTTTAGTGAGGGTTTCTCCTTCGAAAACCTATTCATTCAAAATAATTTCTTAGCAACACATTATATTTTTAGACAAAAATAAATAAATAAATCAAGCTTTTATCCTGCTATGTATCAAACATATGAGGTTTAAATTTAATATTGTGAAGATACTCGGCTAAAACAACCACTAGGGTAAAGAGGACTGCACCTGGGTGTTGACAACAGAAATAAAAAAATCTGGTGCGCGTAACACACAACTTTCACTTACTGCTCAACTTTGAATAGAAATTATTTTCTGGCCATGTTGGGCTATTATAAAATTATTTAAATGTATTTTTAACAGAGTTAAATCTAAAAGTTTATTTTTACAGTAATAACTGTTGTTAAAATATTGCGAATGAATTAATGAAGAGTTTCAAAATAAATATAGTAACCCAAATCCAAAGTTATTATAAAATATATTTCAAAGGAATGAAGAGACCTAATGCTTTTAATGTCCGTTTGGACATAGAAATATTACAGAGGAATAGTACATATGCATCTGACACTAAACATGTTCTATAACTCTCAGCAAAAAAACATTCAGTAATATTTCATGTGTGCAGGTTAAGCACTCTATTAAAATTATTAATAGAGCTCTGATTTGATGAGTTAGAATCCTTTTTGTGCATGTTTAAGGGAAAGCACTTCTCAATAGATCTCTGCCGACATTGTAGGTTTAAAATACAAAATCCTAGATGATCTTTTTTGCAATATGGCACTAAAAATTATTTATTCTAAAGTTTTCGTTCAATATTTTGGTTGATTATTTTCAATAATGAACCATTGTAATCGATAACAAAATTTAAAAACTTAACCACCCTTCAAAATTCGAGGTTTTACATTTCAGGATACATAGAATTTGAAAAAAGAATTGTTTTGACCGTCCACGCATTTTCTCTGAAATTAATAAACCGAGTTTTTTCAAATTTGGATTTTGTCCGAGATTAACTGAGGATGATCCTCCTACATCAGCATTACTATCCACCTTTTGCTTTCAAGATGGAGTCCAAAATTTAAAAATTACATGGTTATTTAAAAATTTACAAACTTTATTAAAAAACTAAAAAAAAATCGTCAAAATCGGAGCAAAGATATTCTAGCATTCTAGCAAAGATCTCTAGATATTTTTTGTATGTTCTACTGCAAAGGTTATATCCTTCGTTTTAGTTTTTGAAAGTGTTAATGAAGTAATACTATTTTTTTGTTTTTTTAGCAAATTACTAATAATAAAAAAATATGTTGTTTAGGCCTTTAATAGGAATTATCTTTTATTTCTTTTTCTTTGTTACTAGGAAGGTAATGTTACTTTAGATGTATAATTGTTTGAAAATAATAAATTTGCAGCGTTTTTTTTCCAATTGAGTAAATTAACGAACTATTAAGCGGACCCTACACGGTCATTCGGAATTGCATTCCGAGGCACTAATGACGTTCCGAATTATCGTGAAAGGTAGTGAATGAAGTACTGATGGTGGTGCGCTGCGGATTTCCGAACATCCGGAAATCAAAGGTTCATTCACAAGAAGTGGAGGGTGGACTGAGGTAGAAGTAGTGGGGAGACTAACCATACTACTGGGTAGGTTAGTTTACCTAGGCCTCACAACCATTATAAATTTCTGATTTTCATTATATGTAAATAGTTAAATAATTTTTCATATCCCTCGTTTATATTTTTAAACCAACTTCAACTATTTCTTTTAAATAGTCAAGTGGGCAACAAATTTAAAAAAAGTGGAAACTTCACAATTTACTTTAAGAAAAAAAATAATCTTTAACTGTTGTGTATATTTGTCAGTTCTTTTCCCATTTTCCTCAACAAATTTATTATTTTGGCAATATCTTTCCTTAATTTTTGTAAGTACTAGACTTATATTTTATTAACTTTTGTCAAAACGATTTTCTATGAGACTAACCTTACTACTAGATAGGTTAGTTTACCTAGGTCTCTTTTTAAGTAAATAATTTCATAAAAGTAAATAATTGTTTATATCCCTAGTTTATATTTTTATTAACCATTTTAAACTATTTTTTCTTTAAATAGTCAAGTAGGCAATAAATTGAAGAGAAAAAAAAGTGGAAACTTCACAATTTACTTATAGAAAAAAAATCTTTAACTGTTGTGTTTATTTGCCATTAATTTTTCCATTTTTCTAAAACAAATTGATTATTTTTGCAATACTTTTTCTAAATTTTTGTATGTAGTTGACTTATATTTTTCTAGCTTTGATCTAAACGATTTTCAGGCACTAGGAACTGATTATTATATCTCCATTTTTCTCTTGATGCCCAATATTATAAATTGGGATATATTGTAGATTGAATGTGTAAGGGCCTTCATGATCAAAGCGATCCCGAGCAATCTTTGCCATTCTTGTGACGTTCACTCATGAATTACGGTGTAGGGTCCGCTTTACAGTACGCTTTTACACTACTACCGCTACTGGTGGGGTGAACTATTACGGCAAGTGAGCCCTATTATATCTTATATCTTTTTACCAACTCCTGACGGTTACATTGACGTTGTGCCGTGTTCTTAGCAGAATGGGAATGTCATGATCCATTTCCTGTGGCCGCTGAGAAAAGAAAAGTAACCGACCCATGGGAAAGGGAATCGAACCCACAACGCTCTGACCTGGGCACTCTGGGACCCATGCCCCAACGTGCTCAGCCATTCCACCCTCTGCTTTTACACCAAGTTAAATAAGTATGTAATATAATAAATTTATATTATACATGAATCCAGGCAAGAATATTTATTCTTAAGTTTATTACAAGTAGTAATTTTTATCATTTATTTAATTTTAAGTATTCTCTATTCTTAAGCCTCTCTAAATTGGAATACTTATAGAAGTACCAAAATATTGGATAATAAAAAGCTGATTTCCTATTGAATTAGCTTTGTTAGTGAGGCATTTATGGTTACTAGTAGGCCCGTGCTTTAAATTCGCACAGCATATTGTTATCAAATGCCAGATTAATAAAAAAATAAAATAATGCGACCTATCAAAAGATAAAGAAATCAAATGTTACTTTATCGATAAATATAATCGACAAAGAATACAAAAATTAATTTAAATCTTCATTTTTGTTTGGTACCAACATGTTTACAAATTTCAGTAAGCTGTATCTTCGCTAAAAATTGTCTGATTTCAATGATTTTTTATCCATTGTGTAGGAAATTAAGTAATCTTTTATATGATCACGGATATAATCCAGGAAAAAGTGTGTATTTTTTTAGTTATTCGCAAATAAAGCTTGTTTTCTTTTATAACTTTTTTGCCTGAATTTTCGGGATGATTGGACTATTTTGTCCGCCTGAAGGAGAAGGAAGTCTTCGAAATTGGTGGCTCAATCTTGAGATTTGGTGAAAAATTAACGATGATATAGCTTGCCGATCAAAAACACCATCGATAAATAATATAAACTCTTCCTGTCTCGGTCATAGAGACCTCAAGTCGACGAAATGAGACATGTATCCAATGACAGTACTACAATTAACATCAGGTTGTGTGGATGCGAATCCCATGCCTTGCGTTATGTCGAAAATAGGATGTTTTTGGGCTTAAAAACGCAGGATCTGATAGTTCCGGAGGAACTATCCGGGTCTTGCTGTACGCATCAAAATCTTCAAGGTTCAATTTGTCCCGCATTGATCTACAGACCTACCACCATTCCAGTATTGAAGCAAAATGTTTGTATCGACTTTATTTATTTTAGAAAGAAAAACAAAAGTGGAGAATACGATTCACTAACCCCCCGTGAAATTCTGAATCCAACGGTACCCCATTCGTGGTATTTGAGCATGACAGGAGCTTATATTTGGTACAAAACCGATTTCGAGCCTTACTGTAATAATATATGTACGGATGTATTTTACTTATACTGCTTTATAGTCTACAAGAATACATAATACGGATAAATCTCTATAATAGAATGACAAGAGCTCTACTACAATACTAAATCTTCGGCACCACAAAATGAGATGTTTTTTTTTTTAATGTTTAATAAAGTTAGTTTAACTTTTATGTATCACTTATCCATAACTTTCTAAAAAGATTTTCACGCGAAATACTGAGAATCTATTAATATAAACCTAATAATATACAATAATTACTAATGTTATGTTATTCTTTCGACAAATTTCGTGATAACTGTTTTCAAAATATCTACTTTTCCCTACTATCATTAGTATTTTTTGGTACCACTAACGGATCCAGGATTTAATTTTGGGAGTGACTTCAGCCCAAAAGGTTTTTTTTTTGTACGTATATATTAGGATAATTACTTCGGAAGAAAGAATGAAACTAACTACCTATATGAAATGATGTATAAGTAATTCTTTGAGTCCTATTAAATTTAATTAGATGAACAATAATAATTTTTAGAGATAATTATTCTCATACAATATGGTTATATTTTACCATTTTGGTGGGGGCTTGAGCCCGAAAGCCCCTCTCCCCTCCAACATAGATTCACCTGTGTGTGGTTCTATAAACAATCTTAAAAGGAAATGGAAAGTGACGCAAGTTTGTAAATTTAACAGAAGGGCAGGAAAACCATGGTAATTAATTGTTTTAAATGATGTTATACGGTCATATTCACTTTGTCTTCCTATACGTATGAAAATATCTATCTACTCTAATGTTGGTACGTGAAAGTTGTGTGAGGTGCGCACTCGCATCAGATTTTTCAAAAATTATTATTATTATAAACCTTATTGTTTAATGTTCCTTCCCAGTTTATATGTATTTCACCTTTAGATCTAAAAATTAATTTTTAGATGCATGGAAAATAGATATTCAGATCCAGTTCTTAATTCTTAATAATCTTATTTATTATCAATAGTTTATCTTGGATGCAACGACCTTATTTAATTAAGATATCGACCATAAAAATAAAATAAAGAATGAATTTACCTCATCCTCCGGAAGAGATTTGTACGTAACTTCCGGTGCTGTAGCCATATATTTAATTTTTTGTTGCTGCCTGTTGAGGTATTTAGTTCCGGCGACAGCTTTAAGCTGCTGGCGGTACTGCAATAAATCACAAAACATATCCTATTATATTATATAAGGTTAAGTCTGAACTTTAAAAATAATTATAATATTAATTTTGCCAAAGAATAAGCTTACACCTCTAATAAACTAATTTAAAATAGCAAACAACAATTTATCAAAATGAAATGCACTTAAAAGTTACAAATATTAAGTTGAATGAATAAAACACATACGGCAGAAGGAGTAATGTAGTGCGGATTTTCCCACAGCGTAGCGCCTGTAAAGCTGCCGCTAAATATTTTTATTGGATTCAGAACAAATCTTGGTCCTGTAATAGAAAAAAAAAAAAATTAAAATATTAATAATATTGTAATGATAAATATAAACTACAGCAGGATTCACTTAATCTTGATTGAAAGCTAATTTTGGATGGTGTGATGAACATGACTTTGCTGGATGACATGGTTGAATTTAAATTATGGTGATATTCCTTCGAATGCTACTTCCTTACTCACATAATAATAAACCTAAACTAGTCGGCCAGTGCGAAAAATTCGCAGAAAATTTTGTTTAGTGAAGAAATAGTAAAACAATCATCTAAAAGTTCCTATGTATTATGTAAGGAAGGAATTAATATTTCTTCCTTAGTCGATTACAATATTAAATTAAATATAATAGATCAAAATATTTATACAAATTGCTTTGCCAGGACTTATTTTTAAACACTGACTGGAAAGATGATAAAAGTAATAAGGACAAAATAATGCCCCGATCATAGAATATTCTAAATTATTAAAAAAAATAAAATGTAAGAACAACCAAATCTCTTAAAAAATAATAAAGTCAAGCCAGGAAAAAAATGTATTAGATTATTCTACTCCTAAATGTCTTTAAACTTTAAACAGGAAGACATTAAAATTATTAAAAAAAATAAAATGTAAGAACAACCAAATCTCTTAAAAAATAATAAAGTCAAGCCAGGAAAAAAATGTATTAGATTATTCTACTCCTAAATGTCTTTAAACTTTAAACAGGAAGACATTATTAAGTATAACAAAACTAATGGACTGTATCTTTGTTAATAATGTCCGATTTTTTGTAGGTAATTTAGGGTCAAATAAGTAGGAAAAAATTTATTTTTCGATCCCAACTAAAATTCGTACTCGAGGGTCTTTCCAGTTGCGAAATATAAATCTCAAATCTCTTTCTCCTTAAAAAAATATTTCATCACACTTAACTACTTTCGTAAATACAAATTGTTTAAATTTTACATACTTCTAATCATTTTTACAATTTTATTTATTTTTTTTGGTTTTGTAGGTAATCTTTCTAATTATCATGGGTACAATCTAGAAAAAATGCACACTTTTTGAGTTATTCGCAAATAAATTTTCTTTTCCTCAATAAGTTTTTTTCCAGAAATTTCGGAGGAATGGGACTATTTTTCACATGTGAAAGAGAAGAATATCTTCAAAATGAGTGGTCAACCATTAGATTTGATAAAGAATTGACGAAGTTATGGCATACTGAAAAAAAAAACCTTTTAGAAATAATATATAGGATTGTAGTGGTACAGGTTTATGAACATTCCATGACAGAGTAGCTTGTTTTTTTGTTTGTATGTTTTGAGGCCATTACAGGAATTTCTACATTCATTTACCTGTATAAGAGTTCAAGGACCAATCAAACGTCAAGTTAAATGATTGAAAATTTGTATGCGAATTGAATCGATGTTAGACCATTACCGGATGAGACCATTTTTTTTTTTTTTCTATCACCCCAATGATTTTTTATATATTCAAATTAATATTTTAATTCTTTAATATAGCTCAGTTATTATTGCGTTTTTACTGAAAATAAGACTTCAGTGCGTGACGAAAAATAAAATACAAAAAATAATTATAGTTTGTAAAATTATTTAAGTAATTATTATTAGTTTTAAGTATTAATTTTAAGTTGCGGAACCTCGCGAGTGTTGAGGCATGCTAAGGATTTTTGTGTGTGAAATAATTTAGTTTTATGGTGTACACCAGATTTTTCTTTGCCACTACAGGAACCTGTGCTTATCAGCGACGAGTGCCGCTTGATTTTACATGTTGGCGAATGAATATTTTCACAGCTTGAGGAGATAGACTGGGGAGACACTGACGACACAAGCTGGAATAAGTTACAGCTTCTAAGATAACTCAATGGGCCAATTGGACAAAGTTCGGCATAGAGATTTTAGAAATATGTACATATAAGTTTTTCTTCCTATCTATTTTTTTTTTCAAACGTTTGTAATTAGTATATTGCATAGTTGTAAGTTAATGTTTAGTTCTATAATTCTTTTTTTTTTGATAATTGAAGTTAATTGTATTTTCTCATAAATCTAATTTATTATTCATAATTTTCATTTTCTATAAGTTATTTAAATCAATAGAAATAAGTAAATTCATCATTAGTATTAATTATAGCCAGTTTCATTTTCTTCTTTTTCTACAGTTTGTTTTCACATTTTATGGGTATATTATATTGTGTTTTTTTTTTTTTAGGTTTAATAAGTAATTGTAAAACCGTATTCCAGGGATTAGGAAAAATGAATATTATCCAAGTAAAAAGGTTCGATAGGTTTTTCAGGTTAATTAACATACATTTTTAAACCCATAGGCTCCGAGTTCATAGCTCACCCTGTGGACAAATCTTTTTTTTTTTAATTAAATTAATTTTATTTTTTTTATTTTTATGGTTTTCGCTCTTTTTCCCAATTCAACCAATTAAATAGCGTGGCGTCTGTTAGATAGTTAGTAATATTTAATTGACTCTTCATTAATTTGCTTTATTTTTGCGAACCCTACCATCTCCACTTAGCATAAGGCAAGTTTGTTACGGAAACAATTTTTCAAAATTAAAGACCGTAACAGATGCTACAAAAAATGTCATCACTGAATACATATTTTTTTATTCACTACAAAATAACATTAAATTGCATGTTTAATTCTTGAAGTACGGTTAGATAACAAGAAAAGATCAAAAGTAATTTTCCCATATATCATTACTGCTAAAAATAATAATAATTTACTACTTTAAATTTATACAATTTACTAATAATAAAACTAAATTAGGTTCATTCAGGCTTAAACAAAGTGATTCCCTTTCACCTGTACTATTTAATTTGGCATTAGACAGGTGATACATACCGAAAAAGGTTTAAACCTGGGTGGAGCAATATCCGTGATAATGATTTGGTACTTTTAAGCTAAGACATGAAAACAATAAAACTAAATACAACATTGATGAAAGCCATTAAGAGGTGGAGCTCGAAATAAATATGGACAAGACAAAATGTATGGTTAGCAGAAAAAATGGTGACAATCTTGATGTTACAGATATTGAAGAAAATACATTTGAACAAGTAGAGAAGAGTTTAGGTATTTAGAATCTAAGATAACAAGAAAAACTTAAATTGAAGAGGAAGTTAAGTTTAGGTTAAAAGTGAGAAATGCTTGCTATCTTTCAGTGACAAAACTAATAAGTTTGCAGTTGCCCCTAAACTTAAAAATTAGAATTTACAATATTTCTACAGTTATTTATATAGGTCACTTAGATTAAGGATTGAACGTCTTAAGCTTTTTGAAAATAAAATATTGCATAGAATATTTAAGACGAAGGATGAATCAACAGGAGAATCAAGGCTACATAATGCTGAATTGAGCAAACTACTGATTAATACAGATGAGATGACTACATTGAGAAGAAAATAGGCATGGAAAATTCGGGTTGGCTTTACCTTATTGTTATTATTATTGGTGATTTAACAAAAACAATTATTACCAATTTCCGCTAATGCTCCATCCTCTTGAAGAATTTGATAATGGCGAAACCAGATACGATTATCCAAAATAGAAAAAGTAATTATTCTATCAACAAATGGTTGGCTTTTAGGATGATGATTTGGTACTCCAAATATCTGAAAATTTAAAAAAGAAAAAACAATTAGTGATTGAACATTAGTAAAATTCCATCAATAATGAATTGTAATTTTTCTGAAAAATTTTAAATATAAAAAAAACAACAACTTTAAAACAGTTGAGACATTTTTTTGTAAATGGTAAAGCAAAAATAAATCAAATATTATATCAGGAAAGAAAATATATTCAATCAACAGATAAACTGATTTCGGAAGAAATCTTTGACCATTTCCGGCAGCTTAAATCAAATTTACACTTTGATATTAGAGAAACACTATTAGGTTCAAAATTAACAACTTATGTATAAAAAAGATTACGTGAGTTCTTCAATCACAATTAGATCATATACAATCAAACTATTAAAATACTAACCTGGGTTAAAACTTCTTTCAGAAGTGCATAGTGGGGTTGGGAATCAAAATTTTCGTCAAATGATAAAACTGGTCTCGATCCTTTCAAACAATTTCCAGTCAGTCTTAATTCACCCATAGTAAATGCTACATTGGATAAAGAAATGAATTAGAAAATAAATTATGATTAATAATATGTATATTTTATAAGTGTATGTAATTTATAATCAATAACTTACTGCTTTCTACCAAAAATTTCGCTGAAGGTCCATGAGGTACATTGGATAACCACATGTATAAATCCAATTTTTTTCGCGCTTCCAAAAACAGTGCTTTGCAGCAGTTTTTAACTTCGCACAGCTAATAATAAATTGTATAATAATCAATAATACATAAAATGAAACAATATAGTAAATTCAATAGATTGTATTTAACTTACTTCATTAATAACAGCAAGATGCTCTCTGCGAGATATTTTGTTCTCATTCTTCGAGTGAGGCATAATCCTCTTAAGATCATTCATTAAATGCCTATCTCGCTGTGTAATACCTGCTGCTCCAAAAACCAACACTCTTTGACGGTTTATCCATTTAACCTAAAAACAAAATTCTTGTTGAACTGCTAAAACTAGAATTGAAAATTACTATTGTGAAGGTCTAAGGCTGTAGCTCATAGACTTATCAGAAATAATACACAATTGAAAACTTTTCACATTTTTTATGATAAACATGATTTCAATAACTTTTAATAAGTATCAACAGTAAAGTAGGTTATATACATGCAATCAATATCAGAAATCATAATCAAACAATCAATTATGTTTTCATAAACAATTAACAAGGCCAATACTTTTTTTGGAAGAGGTTCATCAGAGGTTCTGGAAGCTGGTGGTGCAGTTCCTTCTTCTCCTTCGGGTTTTGCTTCACTAGTGGATTCTTCTCGCTTCCTTTTTTTTAAAACTCTTCCCAATTTCGTACTCCTATTTTTCCTAGACATCTTCCGTAAGCTCTGAGGGTCTTGTTGCTCGATAGTTACGACTCCACGTGCTTGTGTTGTTATAACTACCTATCGATTGTAGGTTAAATTTCAGAGAGGTAGGAATAAAGCAGTGCCTCCTACCTCATACTGTTTGAACTTAAAAATGACAAGATACCGTTTCTCTTGGGAAAATATTCATGTTGGTACTTTTTTTTTTAAGAATAATATTTTATTATCCAAACATTCGTTACTAAACAGTATAAAATAACTTTCTGACGATATCATGACTGAGTCTCTGAAATCATCGCCGAACTTAGAAAAGGGACCCTGTATTATAAGCATTGAAGACTAAGTTACAGTCCTTTGAATATATCGATACAGGGAATTTACATTTTTCCCAAGCATGTCATTTTGACCAATTTATGAGTATCTAACAATGCGTTTGGTAAATAGTGGGTTTCAGCCGAAAAGGCGGGTTCCTGCAACCTCGAAAATCACCTAGCCTTATTTCTTTTGGTCGGACTAATTATATTTCTTTGTTCTAAATGGGCTGAACAAGTCATACGTCGATGAATGACCAAATGTACTAGTATCCATGGAATAATATTTGAGCATCCAGTCAGCTGTAAGTTGACTGGCAGTTTCTTTTTAAAGGAAAAGATAATTTCTTGGATTTTGTCAACATTGACCTCAAAATTAAACTTTCTCAACCCATCAACAATGTTTTTACATGCCATAGCAGCTTGGTTTAGGACCCTTTTAGCATTTAGGCTGCTAATTGTGTTCGCTATTTCATCTGCAAAAGCCGTTACTTAGCTTTTTGGTACCAAAGAACAGATTTGTCGGAACTGAAAAAAAGAACCTGTTACAGTCAATCGCTCCTTGTGGAACTATGTAAAGAAGAGAAATTTGATTTGAACATATATCTCCAACTTCACATATTACGAATGGTTTATCAATGGACATATATAAGGGAATGACATTAATGTTATTGATTTTTTGTTATCTACAATACCAGGTAATGTTGGCTTAACTAAATGTACTGCCTAACGATTTATTGATTAGGCTGGGTTGTGATGAAATGGATATAAATTCTAATCTCAGCTAAAAATAAATTTGCTTTAAAAAAAAAAAAAAGAATTTGATCACTTTAACCGTTTTTTAAAGAGGCTGTTGGTTTCCATTCTGCTGCATTACACTTATGTAACATCTTGGTTAATTCAATCTATTCACCTGATTTTCGGCCTCCTACATGTTCTCTTGTCAACTTTGAGGAATTAATTTTTCTGTAGGAGCTTCTGATGAATTGCTTCAGAATATATGTTCTACTCACCTCATAGTGCAGGCGGTGACTGCGATTGAGTATGCAAAAATCCGCACCGCAGTTTCTCTTCAGATTCTTGTCCGGGATATCCTACTGGCTAGAAAACTGGATTTTGTCACCTCCGAATATGGTAGGTTTAGGCTGGAAGGGGACAGTGGAAGCTCCAAAATGACGCTATTCGTCTAAGGTAATGCTAAAAAAGTATTTTTTTCTTTCTTATTTTTTGGTATTAGTAAACCGGAGTATAAATCGAGGGCAGAATTTTATAGAGGGTTCTTCTAAATATATTTCCTCATCTATTTTTCTTACTTCATATGATAGATCGAAATGGTATTTATTAACTAACCTTCATTTTTCATGTGAAATTCAAATTTAAAAACTTTGCGCAATCGTCATCAACTTTATTTTCACTAATTAAGATCTTTATATTTATTTTCATGTTGGGCTATTATAAAATTTTTGTAGTGTATTTTTAACAGAGCTAAAGCTTGAAGGTTACAGCTAACATGTCACAAATACTATTAAAATAACAAAAGACCTATTTATTATATCACCGGTTGATTATGGAATGTACAATTCGTTGATTATGCATTGTACGATCCGTCGATTATGGATTGTACAAATCTTAGTTATTAAACTGTTATTTTACGTTGCAAAGTTTACTAAAACGGAATTAAGAGATTTGTATTGTCTGTCATAGACAAGTCAAAAGTTGTAAGTTTTTTCTGTTGGAATGTCGCAAAGGGAAAATTTATCAAATCATTCACTAACTTAATTTTCTAATAAGATTACATACTGTTTTTTTGTAATAAACGGACGATTGATACTTAATTATTTTAATATAATCTCAGATCTAGAGTTACTAAACTACAGTAAATATATTTAAGGTTATAAACGTATCCCTGAAATATTTTTATATTCCATGAAATATTTTTACGGTTTGGATTATCCCCTTAGACATTGGTAAGGAAGCTGTTCTCGGCCTGGATGTAATGAAAAAGGTGCCAGATCTCATTGACGTAGGTGAGCAATTGGTGTACTCAGCAAACCTGTCTGGGAATGTTCACGTTAGAACGGATCACGGGTCCAAAAAGGCTACTATCCTGATGTGTATAGAGGACAAAGGAGGGCAAAACGAGTCAGAGTTCAAAGTCACAGGAAAGACCTGCGTACCGGCCCAAACACAGGCGGTTATTGAAACAAGAATGGATCGACGATTTGATGGAGATGCGGTCCTTATCGAGCCCTTCCAGCTTCCAAGTGGAACCGAGCGTATCGAGAGGGTTCTGGTAACACTCTCTGAGAGTAGAGTATGGGTCAAAGTAGTGTGTGGCAAAGAAGTCTGCATCCCCTACCCATTCGGTCCTGGGACCGAACTGTAGATTTTTTTTTATTTGGTGCCGGTGATAATGATTTCGGGAGCCTCATGGAGGAAAGACTAAACCGCTTACAAAGGGAAGATATAAATTCAATCAAGCAGCTAATCGAGCGCTATATTCTCAGTCCTGAAAGAAAAGTGCCTCATACTTTGAGGCCGATTGTAAAAAAGCAAATTAAGGAACTATTGGAAAAGAGGGTTATTCAACATTCTTCGAGCTCCTGGTCTGCACTTATAGTTATCGTGAAGAAGAAGGTTGAGCCTGGAGAATCTCCTAAATATCCAGTTCTGCAATGATTTTCGTGAGCTAAACTCTGTCACTAGAGTGGACACCTATCCACTGTCTACTATTAATAAGCCCCTTGATAGGATCGGTAAGTGCACTTTCTGCACTACGCTCGATCTGGAAAGCGGCTACCGCCTGGTTCCTATCTCTGAAGAGGATAGAAAAAATACAGCATTCAGCATAAAGAACGGGCACTATGAACATCGGCATATGGCGTTCAGGTTAGTCGGGACGCCAGCTACCTTCCAGAGGCTGATATTTGTGGAGAAGAATGTATGGTGTATCTCGACGATATAATTATATTTGCAGCAGCCCTGAGAGATCATCAGGCGCGGCTTGAAAGAGTTCTACAGAGGCTGCTGGAGGCAGGATTACGGATAAATCTACAGAAGTGCCACTTCATGAAGACGGAGCTTGTTTACTTGGAGCATCTTATAATGAAAGACTGAGTGAAATCTGATCCTCGGAACATTGGAGCCATTGAGGAATACTCCTTACCTCCTTTTTCGGTGTTACGACCCACTAGTTGAGTCATAGCCTGCTCAAGTTTAGACCGCCAGTCCTCCCTGTTCCGTGCTGCTATCTTCCAATCCATAACACCGAGCAGGGATCTCGCGTCTGCAGCCACGCAGTCTTCCCAGCGAAGCCTGGGGCGTCCAACCCACCTGGTACCATACATTTGCCCAGCTAAGATCTTGTAAGAAAGTTCGTTTGGATCCATCCTTATGACGTGACTAGCTCGGCGAAGTATTGATACCTTTACGAATGTTGATACGTCTATTTCCTTGTACCTCGTTCTTAACTCAGCATTCGTTCCTCTTCTCCATGTGCTTCCCTCATATATGCCACCATATATACGGCGAAGCACTTTTCTTTCGAAACATTAGTTGTGATCCAACATTCTGAGCCATATGTAAGAAATGGTCGTATGATTGTGTTATAAATTCTCACTTTCGAGGCCTTCGACAACACACCATTTCTCAAGAGTTGGTGTGGTTTCCGGAGAGGGTCCGTCTTTGGATTTCTTCTTCGATGCAGTTATTACGGTTGATCTGGGATCCCAGGTATATGAATGATTTCTCTCTTTCACATAGGGTGCACATATATTTCGTTTTTTCAAGATTCCCAATTAGGCCCAGTCTTGCTGCAGACTTCTCTAATGCTTTAAAAGCTTCTCTTATGGCGTTTAGAGTCGTTCCCGCAAGATACAAGTCATCCGCAAATCCTAAAATCTGGACTGTCTTATAGAGAAGTGTTTCTGTCACTTGGATTTCAAAGTCCCTAATAGTTTTCTCAAGAGAAAAGTTAAACACTAAACAGGGCAGGCCATCACCCTGCCTCACACCTGTTCTCGTTGTGAATCCTCTTGATAGCATTCCGCCCACTCTGATAAAGCATACGTTGTCCTCCATCGTCATTTTTACTCGACAAACCAGTTTGATAGCGATGCTCATGTCCACCATTGCCTTGTATGTTTCTACTCTGTTCACTTGTTGGAAATCAATAAACAGGTGGTGAGTATGTATCTGCTATTCCCTTGTTTTCTCCAACAGGATTCGTAGGGTAAACATTTGATGTGTTGTAGATCTTCCTTTTCGGAATCCAGATTGATACTTTCCGAGCTCTTGTTCGGCAAATGGAAGCAGTCTATTGAAGAGTATGATGGATAAAATTGTGTACGCGGTGGGAAGGAGAGAGATACTTCTGTAGTTATTACATACCGATACATCCCATTTCTTATGAATGGGGCAAATCACCGTTTTGTTCCATTGAGCGGGTAGTCTTTCTTCTATCCATATGTCAATCAATAACTCTTGGAGGAATTTTATTATTTCACCCCCACTACGTTTAAAGAGCTCAGCTGGGATATTATCGATTCCTGGGGCCTTGTTATTCTTTAATTTCCCAATTGCATCATGTATTTCCTCTTCATCTGGAGGCTCTATAAATACCTCAGCTCCCCGTTCCAGGAAGTCACTTGGGAGTGAATTGTCTTGACATCCTCTATTTAATAGATTTTGGAAGTGGTTTGTCCATACTTTCATGATTACGGCTTCCTCGGTGACCAGCGTGCCATCGTCTACCCTACAGGCATAATTCAGGGGATGGAATCCTCTGCGGTCTTTATTAATCATTCGAAAGAATGCCATGCTACTTTTTACATTGAAAGCAGCTTATATGTCAGCAGGCCTCTTGGTTTCCCACTGTCGCTTCTTCCGTCTCTGTGTGTGAGTTTCTCTTCTTCTTCTTTCACGGTACTCTTCTACATATCTTCTGGATCATGGTTCTGTATGCTCGATTTTTTTTCCTCATGTAGTACCTTGCACTGTACATCGAACCGTGGTTTTCTCCTGCGCTTTTTCTCGATCCCAATTACTTCCTTTGCTACCACAGTCATAGCTGTTTCACATTCTTTCCATTGATTATCAATGGTTGCATTACGTTCAATGGTTCTAATCTTTGTAGCCATTGCAGCAGTGGACCTCGTCTAAATCTCTTCGCTTTTGAGCTTGGATGTGTCAAACCATAGCACAGGAGCACCGTTCTGTCTCCTTGTCCTTGAAATCCGTACTCTAACTTTAGAGGTTATGAGATAGTGGTCCGAGTCGACATTCGCTCCTCTGCAGGATCTCATATCCATCAGCGAAGACCTATGAGTGGTACTAATGAGCACATGATCAATTTGTGAAGTTGAGATTCTACCATTAGCTCCAAATTTTCTCCACGTAGCCAGATGTGAGGGAAACATGTGCTGCCATTGCAAAGATCTTTTGAGGCTGCAAAGTTTATGGGTCTCTTCCCATTGTCATTGGAAATATCATGTAGGCTATGGAGACCTATTGTTGGTCGGTATAACCTACATATCGATAATCACCTAGCACCATCTTCATGTCGTATCTGGGACTGCTTTCAACACACCTTTCAAGCTCTTCATAGAAGGCATCTTTCACGTCCTCTTCTGACACTTCTGTGGGTGCATGGACACATATTAGGCTAATATTATAGAATTTCACTTTAAGTCGGAGCATGCAGAGTCTAGGACTAATCGATTTAAAATCAATCACATTCTGAGATAGTATTTTGTTAACAACAAAACCAGTCCCGAATGTGTGGAGGCGGTCATCACAACTATAGTATACAGTGGGGTTTCCTTTCTTTAGGCCGCCGTGTCCGGTCCACCTAATTTCCTGAATGAAAGATATGTCTATTTTATAGTTTTCAAGGGTATTTAGAAGCACTTGCAGTGCTCCAGGTCTATATAGTGTCAAAATATTCCATGAGGCGATCGTATATTCCAATTGATGTTTCCTGATTTGTTTTCCGTACACCAGTCCGGCTAATCCTGTCTGAGCTTTCCAGATAAAATAATTTAAGGGGAATAGGATATCAACCCATTGCCCCCGAGTCAGGTGGAGGAGTTGCCTCCTCAAAGTGCCCTGACACACTTCCCCATCCGGGCGCGGCTACCTAGGGAAGGTGACCATTGTGTGTGTATTGTTTTTGACCTTCGATTATGATGTGAGTGAGTGTTTGGTAGCGTTCTGTATAGAGTATATATGTGTGAGCGTCAGTGTACTGTTCCCCCAACCTGGAGGGCCAGGGGCTATCTGCGGTATTATGACCGGGCGATGGGGCCGCCACCTTCCTACGCCACAATACCCCTTACCAAGAGATGTAAACTCAGAACTTTTTTCGTGTTGTCCGGTTATTACCGGAGATTTATCAATAGTTACGCAGACCGTGCTCTGCCCCTCACGGAGGTGACAAGGAATGACGTTCCGTTTGAGTGGACTGAAAAGAGATTAGCAGCATTCGGGGCATTGCTGTCTCAGGAAGTGAATGGAGTCAAAAAGCCGGTTGTCTACGCTACCCGTAAACTACAAAAAGCAGAGCAAAACTACTCGGCCACGGAAAGGAAGCTCCTCGCAGTGGTCCAACAATTCCGATGTTATTTAAATAGACGGAGGTTCATAGTGTTGAAAGACCATGCACCGCTAAAATGGACTTTAGGATTGAAGGAGCCAAGATCACGGTTGATGCGCTGGCAGATAAAGCTGGTCGAATTAGACTATGAGGTAAAATATAAGACCTGAAGTCTGTACATGAATGCTGACTCCTTAAGTAAAACAGTACGGAGGATTGAAAAGGAGATGGGCGAAGAAATCTCTAGAGAGCGGATCCTATGAGAACAAAGAGCGGATGCGGAGTGTCAAAGGATTGTGAAGGACCTTAAACCCCCTTTTGTAACTGAAGTGGAGGGGCTACGTTTCTACACGCCAGATGAAGAGTACAAGCTTGTGGTCCCGAATTCATTGCGACCTGACTTCTTAAGTAGGCTACACGATGAGCCTTTTGAGGGGCATGGCGGAATTAATCGAACTATGCAAAGGGCGGAGAAGTGCCTGTTTACGGAAATCACTGCGGAAGGACGTCGAGGGATACGTTTTTTTGAGTGATAGAGGGACAAATGTTTGTTCGGACATGCTCAGGCGGACTTGTGCCAATTTGGGGATCCAAAAAATTCAAACAACTGCTTATCAGCCCAATGCAAATGAACGGGTGGAACGCTTTCATCGTACATTCACCGACACCATTATTCACTTTGTCAATAAGAAAGGAAATAATTGGGGCCAATATGTCAAATATGCCCTCTCGGCATATAGAAGCTCAAATCATCGCTCAACTGGTTACTTCCCAAACTTTCTTACGTTTGGAAGGGAGATCGCTATACCCTTCACTTGCAACATCCAGCCTTTGTTTGACCTTGCGACCACCCAGGATGACTACCCTGCAGAGATTTGCAAGCTCTGATCTGGTAGGGTTGGGTTTGGATGGTGACTGGTGGAGGGAGGTATGTAGAGAGGGATTGATGATGTAGGCATCGAACTTTCGGATACGTTAAGCCTTTTTTTCACATTAAAAAAACAAGTTCCCCAGGATTAAATCCTGGATCCACTACTGCTTGAATCAACAGACTACACCAATGACATTACCGAAAATCATTCCCAAATTTCCTTTTATGAAGTAAGCCCACCTTAGAATGTATTTAGCATAGTGTATAGGCATAGTCATGCTCTCTACTGATATCCATAGAAACTTGCTGAAACAGCTAGCACCCCAAGAGAGGAATCAAGCAGCACATTTAGTTTCAACAAAGAATATGTTGTATTATTTCTTTATTATGTAAATTAATGAAATATATTTTGTATGATTGTTGTAACTATGTCAGAAACAATAAAGGCATTATCTACAAATAATTATTTATTCAGCAACATCAGTTGTGGATCAACACTAGGGATCGGTAGACCCTCCTATGTATGACACACCCAGCCGCTATAAATTGGGTACACCTAATTAATTAAAGAGAAAAATCTAGTGGCTGAGCATTATCTTGACCAAATCACCTCCTGGTATACATAACCATTAGGCTAAATATAGTTCATCTATACCAAGTACTGAACCCAATATCCGTCAAGGATTTTTGAGAGTTTAATCCAGGTGTTCATATTATTTAAAAATACACAATCATATTGTAAAAGTACTAGAGAAAGTCCACCTGAAATATTTTTTATTTGATATTTATTGATTTCCTATACCTAAGTATTTGAAAATGGCAAATTCATTTCACTTCTACAAAAAAAATTTTTTTTAAATTTTTTCTTGTTTTTTCAAGCAAATACTACATCAGTTTTGCTCTGGTACAGCAAACTATAAATAATCTAGAGTATTTGACATTTTATTGGTAATTTCTCATTAGTTATTTGTTGAAAAAATATCTCCTTGATGAATAATTTATATTATTTGAAACCAGAATATTCTAAGTAATTAGGAAACTAAGTAACATCAATTTTTCTATTGAAATGTTTTAGTATTGAAAAATTATTTAAAATTATAAAAATGTATTCTGCAGAGTGACATTTATGATTTTTTCAAGGGGTCAAATTTTATATTTGTACAAATAGATCTTAAAAATTGAATAATGTTCAGGACTATTGACACTACATCATTCAAAATATTCAGGGCATTAAAGTGGTATTTTATTTGAGAATGGCCCAAAAAGATTTTAAAATATCAATATTATTGAGCAGAATAAAAGTTCAGTCAATTGTGAACAAATTTGAACATGTTAACCTAAAAAAAAAGGATTATATTTGTGAACAAAGGTTTGTCGAATTGTTATAAAAAGGTGAAATACTTATTTGATTTACATATGTATTTTTACTTATTTAACATTGTTGAAAGGATAAAATAACAACTACAGCACAATTAAGCATAATCAGTTAAAATTATAAAGTTTTAAGTTTTTCAGCAGGTAATAATAAAACAACATATGGTCAGATGAAAATTTTTGAAGTAAACAGGCTAAAAAATTATGATATGGAAAATTGGTGAGACATGAAAATTGTAAACAAATTGTTTACCAATAATTAAAATGGGGATTGATTGGATTGTGATTACCAAGCATAGAAAAAATTTTACAAGCCATCATCTTAAGAAAAAGGTGAAGCTTCTATTTAAAATTTATACTTAAACAATTAGTCACAGAGCATAACCAATATTTTGGTATAGTTTATCTTTTATATAGTTTATCAGGATTGATTTTTATTTTATTATTTTTGTTTTTTGTAGTGCAACTAATTCAAAATGCTCGAAATACGAAGAAACTTCGGAGTCTTACTTTATATTGTCAAACGATCTATAGCAGATTACTCTACCAAAGGAGATAAACATTATGAATTTTGCATAAGACATATAAAAACAGACCTGAATAATCACTCTTATATTGTAAAACAAACTACAGGTATTCCGAGAGAAATAAGAAATGTAAGCCCAATTAGCTATAGAAATTCACCTTATACTATCGGACCACAAGCTTCTTACAACTCATTTCTTCCATCTACAAAACATTCAAAGTTTAAAATCACTTATGACTCAGGGAATAGTTTTTTAGAGAGGAATGTGCTAGTACAAGATTCGGTTAATAAAATGGTAACTCATTACTCTACTAAAGAGCAAAATCCAAATAGTAGTATCTACAAACATTGCACAGTTGAAGAAGTTAAAAATCCATGTTATATTAATGATACTCCAAGCTGCTATGCTAATTTAAGTGAACAAAGATATGATACATTTTCTAATGATAACAATGAAACAGTATACATTAATTCAAATTATCATGAGAATTATTTATATTCGAACCGATATAATCAGATAGCTACTTCTGAAGATGATCCTTTTACCAATGATAGCAATGATTTTTCGCTGACTAAAATCAAAGAATTGTTGAATAACAAGCTTAAAGATATAATGATAACCAATTTGAATACAAAAAATATTATATCCGATAATATAGTAATTTTAAATCAAAAGATACCTGAAAGAGAAAGTCTTCTATTTTTTAAAAACAATGATCTACATGTTATAGAATCTTCTCATACAAATTTCAAAAATGAAGTAAAGAATTATCTGAAGAAACATGATTCTAAAAGAAGGAACAGACGGGCACCGGAGAGATTGAATTTGATAAGATTTTCTAAAGTTTCTTGGCCAGATAATTTGTTTGGCGAATACAATTCACAAAGTAATTTCAGTGAAAATAATAGCTTCGATAGTGTGAATACATCCAGCTCATGGAAAAGTTTGAATGGCATTACCTTAAAGGTAAAAAATTCAATACCCTTAAAAAAAAATCTTGAGCAAACTTGGGTTGAATACGATGAAGATAATGAAAATTTTGAACATGAGACATCGCGAAATTATATAGGATTTTCTCCAAAATCAGGACCACCATTCACTGAAAAAGTGCCTATAAATAGAGACAAACTAATCGATGAAAGTGTTGTTCCTAATAGCAGTATATTGAGTATTATAAACTCAATTGATAAATCAGCCGTAATAATCCAAAAAGATTTATATATAACTGATCAAATCATACAGAAAATTCAGAAAGAAGAAGAAAAGAACAAAGAAATGGATAAAAACAAATTAGAAACTAGTGAAAATAAAAATTATGTTATGTATTTAGGTGCACCAACTGTTAAGAATGGAGCGGTCACATTATCTCTTGCAGGTTTAACTACTGGCACCAATGAATTATCTTTGAGTAATAGGCACCAATCTCATAAATATTTATTAAGTAGTAAAAATGTCCATGTAAGTCAAACACAAAACAATGGATTAAATAATGATTCATCAACTTCTGTGACAGTTAAGTCTGTAAATAATGATGGAAAAATATCATTGAACATGTCATATGAACCGAATAAACTAGTTCCAATGTTCAGTTTTTTTTCAAATGACCAAAGCGTTGAAGAAAATGTAGGAGTAAATAATATAAATAAGACCTTGGATAATATAAACAATAACCCATCAAGACAATCTAGCATCAGTCAATTGCATCATACAAGTGAAAATAATTTACCTGACAATAACTATCAACTGTCAAATGAAAGTGGAAACCGATTAAAAGTATTGGAAAGAGGAATAACAAATAAATGTGAAAACAAATCTTCAAAAACTTTTCATACAAGTGAAAATAATTTACCAGACAATAACTATCAACTATCAAATGAAAGTGGAAACCGATTAAAAGTATTGGAAAGAGGAATAACAAATAAATGTGAAAACAAATCTTCAAAAACTTTTCATACAAGTGAAGATACTTTACCAGACAATAACTATCAACTATCAAATGAAAATGGAAACCGATTAAAAGTATTGGAAAGAGGAATAACAAATAAATGTGAAAACAAATCTTCAAAAACTTTTCGTACAAGTGAAAATAATTTACCAGACAATAACTATCAACTATCAAATGAAAGTGGAAACCGATTAAAAGTATTGGAAAGAGGAATAACAAATAAATGTGAAAACAAATCTTCAAAAACTTTTAAAGAAGAATCAAGATATACAATACCTGATAATAGACCATTGGAAGATAAATCAGCTGTTGAGAATATGGGGACATTTTCTAGAGAAATTGATGTTAATAAATCTAATAATTTACAAGATGAGATTCATAAATTATTAGTGATTAGCAATGAACGAATAAAAAAATTAGAAACAGAATTGTCAAATCTGAAAATACATAATGAGTGTGAAAAAAAAAATTCATCACAAAAATTATCCGATGTTCAGAAATTATTGGAAACTTTGTTAAATGAATACAGTTTAAAGAGGGAAGCATCTGTTTCTAATGAGCTAAATAATAAATCTGAAATAAAGCATTCTCATACATCTAAACCAGATGCTGACCAAATAGCTCAGCATATTGGCCGAGCTGTTGCAGAATCTTTGGAAACTTGGCTGAATTATAATATTCCAAAGAAAGAAATAACTTCCTCTGATGAATCGAGAAGTGAATCCAAAATTCAGACAGAACCAGATATTCTTAAAGCAGAGGATACTTTGAACACAGAGGAAACATTGTTAAATGATAACTTTTTAAAGACAGAAATGTATAATGCAAATTATTCTGATGAAGGAATAATACAGATGGACAGTCACGCTAATCATAATAACATTAATGAAAATTCTGAAGACAATTATTATCATTCATCAAATACTATCAATAATGAGCTAGAGTTTACCGAAAATGATTTTCCAAAACAGGAAGAAATAATTCACGAATCTGAAAAAAAACATTCAGAAATTTCTGATGAAGAACCTACCTTGATAAAGAAAGAATCGTCTGACATAAATTATCCTGTTGAGATTCATGAATCTTTTTTTAATTCAAATACTAATGAAACTAGCTTGAAGAATAAAAATTTATCTAATGATAACATAAAAGAATCTAATAATAAATCTCAATATACCTTGACAGATTGTGGCCCTACTTCTAAGTTGTATTCGTTAAAATGCTCAAATGAAAATGGCAATGAATCCATCACTAATAAAGAAGACATTATGGAACATAGAGGATCCATTAAAAAAGAAGGCAGCTTTTATGAAAAGAGAAAGAAATACCTTGCCAATATGAACTCATCAGCAAAGGAAAGTCATGTACAAGTCCTATATAAGCATAATAATAATTCAAACTTATGTATTACATCCAATAATACATCAAAAGAACCTCTAACCATGAAAAGTGATGATCTAAATCCACCAGATTTCAGGTACCCAGTTTCATGTACCTCAGGAAAAGGTTCATTCGGTGGCAGAAAAAAAGAAGAAGATTTGTATAAATTTGTTCCAATTAAGAAAAAGATTGATAGTTCAAACACAAATAATTCATCTGTTGACCGTGTTAGAAAAACGACAATCTCTTCAATAGAAAAAAATGATTTCACTGATATTAGCATTTCAGAAGTTCAAACATATGTAGATTCTCGTTTACCTATTCCATTTTCCACTGAAACTTTTTTTCAGATCTTTGGAACAAATCAGTCATTAAGAGACCATTCATCTTTCATGGATGTGGCTAAATTTAAATTGTCTTCGCCAAATAGAATGACAGATCAACATTCAAATCTAAATGTAATGGCAAAACTCGATGATATTCAAAAAAGTGTTCAATATTTGAATATTCTTACTATGAATTCAAAATTATTACAGAGTAAAGATGAAGTATTTAAAAATGGAACCCTCATCTCTTCAAAAGAAGTGTCCGCAAGCCCTGCTAACAAACAGAGAAGTGTTAAAGATAGTACAAAAGAAAAAATACAATACAGTAAAATTGAAAGTCCACATATTACAAATAAGAAAGAGCAAACTATTAATTTAGGAAATGTATCAAATTTCATTCCAAAGTTTTCATTAAAAATGTTTAAAAACAATAATTTAACAGTTAAAGCTCATAATTTGAAACAAATAGGCCAACAGAACTGGGGAAGTGAAAAGAATAAAAATAATCAAGAGATAAGAATACAAATTTCTGAAATAAAAAAGCAAGATGAAAAAAGATCATCGAAGAAGGATGAAAAGAGTTTACTGGTTGTAAAACCGAAGAAGGAAAATATCAAAGAAATTAAAGTAGATATTAAGAAACGTGGGATTCAAAAGGTGGGATTAACTGGTATCAAAGTATCAAAAGGCAAATATGTCGATCTTTTTAGCTTCGATAAAAATGAAAAAAAAAATAAGCCAAATGTACAAGGTCATAAGAAGGGTGTTTATGATCATAGGGCACTTTCCAAACGAGATAGGAAAATATTAAGAGAAATCACTAAAGAAATACCAAAAAAAAAGTTGAAAGGGAAAAGCAATAGGAAACGACCTATAAGGCCTATTACTAGCAGAAAAGCTGGAAAAGAAATTGCAAAATCATTGGTTAAAAAAACTGAAAATGTGGCAAGTAACATAACATTACCTAAAAAAGATGGTGAATCAGTGAACAAAACTGTCGTCTCAAACGCTGATTTATCGAATAAACAAAAACTATTACCACCAGGAAAACATGGCCCAGAGGAAAAAGAGGTACAGAAAAGTTATACAGATAAAATTGAGATTAGAACCCATAAAATTATTCCAAGAGTAGGTCGGAAAAAAGAAGAAAATAAAAACTTGTTGAAATCTGAGGGTAGAAAATCACAAGTTATAATACATGACAAAACTGTTGAAAAAATAAAAATTTCTGAAGCGAATTCAACCAATACTGATAAGTATAATGTATCAAAATTAGAAAATTCAAAGCAACATATAAAGACTGAAAAATTTTCAATAAAAAATGCTGAATCAAGAAATATTAAAAGTGATGTAGGCAATATTGACATAACTAGTAGGAGACCGTTATGCCAAACCTATGTTGCAACTGAAACATACGTAAATCAACCAGAAAAAATACATCAGATTCCAGAAAAAATATTTACAAGTAAAAAAATACATAAAAAGATTCCAACACCACCAAAAGTCACAATATTAGAAAATATTAAAACTAACAATGAAGATAATAATGAAACCTTAAAAATACATGAAGGTTTCAAAGAAGATTTGATAAGAAAGTCACAGAAAAAAATTGAAAATAACACTAATATAGATTTTAGAGTAAGAACGCCTAAGCTAAGGAATCCAAAATCTAAGGTCACAATGTTTAAAAGTAAACAAGAACCAATGCCGATGCTTGTAAAAGATAAAAAGAACTCTGAAATTAAAAATAAACACCTTATTCAAAAAATGCATCAAACAAATAAATTAGATCAGAAAAATTTCAATGAAATTAGAACATCAAAGATAACGAGTACAGTAAATAAAGGAGCTTCAGTACAAAATATGAAGGCAGATGAACTTTACAAAGTTAAACAATCACAATCAAAGTCAAAAACTCCAGATATTATAAATATTAAACCACCCGAAAAAGTAGCAAAGGTGACAGAGAAACCGCGGGAAAGTGAGCAGCTGAAAATAGTTGCTACTGATAAATTAAAATATCCAAAGGAAACTGCAATTGAAGAGAAGGCACCTAAGATTGGTCTACCAGAAATTAAGAACAGGACACACTTCCCAATGTTTCTAATTGATGTTGATAAAATGTCCAAAGAAATCAAACCAGAGTTGGACTTCAGAAATTGTCAAAAATGTCAAGTAGCTCATGACAAAATAATAGAATTCCCATTGCATAATCAAGAAAAGAAATTATTATTTAAACCACCATTTAAAATTCTTAATCTTGGCCCAAATAATGATCCTACGCTACGTAATGAATTGAAGTTTTTCCCATCTGTAACAAAGGTTATGAATTTAACTATTCCAGAAAACTCTCGTGAAACTTTAAGAGAATGGAGGAAGAGTATGATTAATGAACTTGGAGAAAACGGTTTCAAATCATTTTACAAAGGTAACTTGTCTATTACTAATCGAATAATAGTTAAAGCCAACAACTAATTAACAAGTTTAAAATCATAACTTGAACAGAATTTAAATTATTCTGGCAATAGTAAAATCAATAACATACTAAAAGTTAAAGATTATATTCATTATTTCTTTTGGAGAGATCCATTTTTCAGTTGTTGCACAGAGCTGATTACAAAAAATATGGGTACTGTTTGAAAGAACACCTAAAATTATTATAGTTTTAACAGTATTTATTAATAAGGCTGGCATTCCGTTTGTTTGTATACCAGCTTTTGTTGCGAGTGGTCTGCTCGTTTGAACCTCTGTAAACAGTTAATGAATTATATAATTTAATTTATATAAAAGCTAGATACCTGAGTGTATAACGCGCTGTATTCCTATACTGGGTTCTCAGGTTCGTTACATGTCTGGCTGTGACATGTAATTATTTATTTGCACAATGTAGTCAACAATTACTGGAGGCCTAACAAAAACTATAACTTGTATGATATATAATTTTGTAAGACACCTAACAAAAATTAAAGTTTCTCTTTGGCATACTAATAAAAAAAAAAAAAAAAAATCAAAGCAACCTATTTGACAATAAATATTAATTGAAACATTATCTGTCATTGTTTTTTCTAAACTAACAAAGTGAGATCAAAGTCAATGGGTCATCAGATTTCAACCAATGTTTTTTTGAATGGATGAAAAATGGTCAAATCTGTTGCAGATTAGCTCCACCAGTTATTTTGTAATAGTAAACTGTTATTTTACTATTAAATAATAGCTTATTATTTTACTAAGCTGCATTCCTTCTTGTTTTCCTCTTTGCAGCAGCCCACATTGACTCAATACTTTGAGTATGCATTCCCCAGTATTAGGATTTATGAAATTCTCTGAACGGTTCACAGTTAGGTGTTTGTAGTTCATAGATCGGAGTCCATCATATTTCTGGCTGTGCTGTGTAATTGTAGAGTTCCAGACTATAGTCTTGGATGGCTTACAGGAAGTACTCCTTCATCTCGTAACATATGCCTCCAAACATCTATTGTTGAGAAAATATCTTCCCAACATTATACCTCAAATTAGAAAAACAGGACTCATCAATCTCAACAGTTGTTCCAGGTTCTCAAATTTTGATTGGATTGTTCAGTACGTTGCTTGCACAAATCTCCTGCAGATAATTCTTCCGATTCATCATAGTATGTTCTGCCCTACCTAATTCTTTAGCACAGTACTTTGTTGATTAAAGGTACTTCAGAGAAAGAAATTTTAAAAATTAGACATCTAAGCTCTGTTCAAGAACATCAATTAGAATAAAACTTATATTATACTAAAAACCACTTAATTTTACACTGATATAATGAATTTATTCAAAATCATTTGAGCTGTTTTTGAGAAAATTGTAAAAATGTGTTAAATATATAAAGTGCCACTTCCGATTAGCTGATTTTGACAAAAAAGTTGCTGTAATATCCCAGGCATATCAAAATATTAAATGTACAATTTTACTTTTGTATGACTTTTCGTTCTTGACCCAGACCGTTCACATATATTCACACCCAAAGCATTTAGCGGAACTTGATCATTTATACTCAGGAGATCTCGAAACATGTATTTCCATTTAAAACTCAGATTCAAAAATTTTCATGATCTCCTCAATACTTTTCTTACTATATATTACATATATAGGTAAGTGAAAGCAAAAATATTTCTGAAAATGAACATAAAATGTACCTTCACTGAGTGTCTGATTTTGTTGCAAATGAAAAAATCTGATCATACCAATTCCTTAAAAGTATCAGGATTTATTAAATGCCTTTATGGTAATTATATGACTTGCATATAATCAAAAATAAAGTGGGTATAAGAAAAATTTGTAGTGAAATAAAAATGTATTCCATGCCTGCTTTTGAAATTATCAAGCCAATTTTTGCTGGTATTAAAATTTGCTTTGTGATCCTTCTAAAGACAAAATTTGACTTTTCAGCTAATATATCCTCAGAAATTGGACACCCTTGTGATTTCTGCTACAAAGACCACATATAAAGAGATTCCTCAACATTCCTCAACTGCCTAGTTTTAACGTTTTCAGATTTAAGACACCACAAGACAATTTTGACACTAGCACATGAAGCAATTCCAGTAATATGTTCTGAGAAACAGAGTCATTTCCATTCCATCTCCTGTCAGTCAACTTTAACCTTTTTTTATTTCTTGTTTGGATTACTAGGAGTTAGGATTATTTATGACTGCCCTACAGTAATTTTTCGAAAATTAATCATCTAACATGATAATGAAGCAGTGTTTTTTTTTACTAAGATCTCAATTATGGGAATTAAGCCTTAATGTATTAAGTGATCAACTAAATGTTCCTAATCTTAATACTTTATACTAAAATAACCTAAATCTTTAGTAATACTTAATACTTGTTTTTATGAAAATAATCTTTTGCTATCTTATCAGCCATTTTATTTTCTTTAAAACTTATATGACAAGGTATAACCAGAGAAAATATGTCAATGTTCTAACATAATGGAGCATTTTTAAAAGTACTAAAATATTATGTGTTTCTTGGTAGTCTTGATACATTTTATTCTTCAGTTTTAGGACATTCAGAGTCTAACAACTGGCAAATTTATCTATCTGAGAGGCAGTATAGAATTAATTATTGATTAAAAAAAAGAAGTTTTATTCTATGCTTAGTTAAGTATGTCTATTTCAATGACATTATTATTTTTCATTATATCTTTTCTACCGTTTTTTTTTTAGCTGAATTAATAAATGGAAATAAATTCAATTGGATGCTTCATAATTTTCTGTTAAATGGTGACCAGTATAAAATAGACTCAAGTCCGAATTTAAGCTTGAAGAGCATAGAAAAAGTTTTTAGAAGAACTTCAGATTTGAGTGCCATTAACAGCCATGTTATTCACAGAAAATTAGCCTACAGGGGTGTCATCGACTGTGTGGCTAAGTATCAGTAAGTTTCATTATTTAAATAAAAACAACTTGTACTTGTCTAGTAGCCGGTCGGGACGAAACCTCCCTTGTTATCTAATGTTACGTCACGTTGCCTCCCTTCTTATCTCGTCGGATTTTCTTCAAATTATGGATGTTATTACATTGGTATAAATTGCCGTCTTCAGAAGAAGAGGCTAATGAATATTTTTAAAACGCTGGGTTAATCCAAAAAGTGAAATTGTGTGAAGGTCATCAAATGAAGATAGACAAGACTGAAGATGAAATGGAGTTGCTTTGGTACCACTTGTAACAAAAACGTTTCTATAAGGAAAGGAACGTGGTTAGAGGGGTGGAGGATTTCTTTTATAACAGCTTTAACATTAATTTATGGGTGGTCCCATAATTTAACAACAATACAGTGCGGCAAAAAGAATCTGAAACTATTATTAAATAATATTATTATTACATTTCTTTTTGTCTATTTCAATTTCAAATCAAACTGTTTTGTTATTATTACATTTGTTTTCGTCTATTTCATATATATATATATATATATATATATATATATATATATATATATATATATATATATATATATATATACATATGTAGCTATATATGTTGTAAAATAAAATTATTTTTTTAATATAACATTTGTAATTTCTTACAATTTCAATAATATAAATATAATACAATAAATATTAATATGAAGATAGGGATTATCAGTACCTTATCAGAATTATCAGTGTTTAGATCACGGGTGGATCTACGGGGGGGAGAGGGGATTTCGGGCTGAAGCCTCCCCCCATGGTAAAATATAACCATGTTTTATGGAGAAAAAAAAATTTAAAAATACCTCTTAAAGTATTATAGTTCGTGTAATTACACTTAAAAGGACTTTAGGAATCACTTAAACACCATTTCATATAGGTAGTTAGTTTCTTTCTACTCTGAAAACCCCTGAAGACCTGGACAATGCAGTACATTCCTTCACTACCAAAATTCAAGAAGCAGTCTGGACTGCTTCCTCCCCTGATCACTCCTCAAAAATCCTTAAGAAACATAATTTATAAACATAAAACGCCGTGCCAGATTATTATGGCAACGTACCAGACATCCAGCCGACCGCCACTCCTACAATTATCACTGTAAAAAATTAAAACAAGAATTAGCCACCTTCAGATCCCAATCATTCAATTCCTATCTCACCACACTCTCTGCTCATGATAATTCCCTTTGGAATATCACCAGAAAAATCCTCAAATCCCATTATATTTCCCACCCTCTTCGACGAGGTGATGGCTCCTGGGCAGCATCTGATGAAGATAAAGCCGAGGAGTTTGCCAAACACCTTTCCTATACTTTCGCTCCTCATCCGGAATCTCATCCTACCCATACAGTAAAAGTAGAAGAATTCCTTTCTTCACCTATCCCACTCTCCTTAGCACCTAAAGCAGTTAATCCCTCTGAGGTCAAATACCTATTACGCAAAATCACTCCTCGTAAATCTCCTGGATACGACCTTCTAACCCCGCAGATCCTACGACAACTACCATCCAAAGCCATCATATTTCTAACCTATATATACAATTGTATTCTCCGAACTACCCACTTCCCTCTCCTATGGAAACATTCCACCATCATCCTTTTCCTGAAACCAGGCAAGCCTCCCAATAATACATCATCCTATAGACCAATTAGCCTACTCCCAATTCTTTCAAAAATTTTTGAAAAGATCCTCCTGAAAAGAATCCTACCCTTAATAAACTCCCGTAAAATCCCTACCCATCAATTCGGATTCCGTTCCCAACATTCTACCGTCCAACAAGGACTCCGAGTTGTTGACCACATATCCTCAGCCCTAGAAAACAAGCAGTTTTGCTCGAGTGCATTTCTGGACATAGCGCAAGCTTTTGACCGGGTGTGGCACGCCGGACTGCTCTTCAAGCTCAAATCCCATCTACCACAGTCCTATACCTAATACTCCAATCCTACCTCTCCGACCGCTCCTTTCGAGTTCGCTGTGGTACAGAATTTTCCGACTGTTATTCTGAGGCTGGAGTTCCTCAAGGCAGCGTCTTGGGTCCCATCCTTTACATCATCTATACCGCTGACATTCCCGTCCATCCCGATACACTCCTGGCAACTTTCGCTGATGACACTGCGATCCTATCTTCTAACTCAGATCCTGAAACAGCGTCCAGAAACCTGCAACGGCACCTATCCTTGATTGAACACTGGTGCAAGAAATGGCGCATCAAAGTCAATGAATCCAAATGTAAACATATAACCTTCACCCTTCGTCGTAATTCCTGTCCACCAGTTTACTTTAATACCATCCAGCTTCCCTTCTGCGACACAGTCCGGTACCTTGGTTTTCTCCTAGACAGACGACTAACGTGGAATCCGCATACTAGACTGAAAAGACAGGAACTTAACTGACGTTATGGCCAGCTATATAGACTACTTAATAGAAAATCTAAACTTTCTATTGAAAACAAACTACTGATCTACAAGACAATATTAAAACCCATGTGGACCTACGGACTAGAACTGTGGGAGACAACCAAATTTTCTAACATCAAACGCATTCAATCCTTCCAGTCCAAAGTCCTCCGTACAATAGTCGATGCTCCCTTTTATGTCTCTAATAAAACCCTGCACAATGACCTTAATATTCCATTTATTCTTGATCTTATCCCAGACAAATTCTCCAAATTTCATCAGAACCTTACCCATCACCCTAATCCCGTAGCACAATCCTTATCTACCACCACTCATCCCTACAATCCTCCTCGCAGGCTGAAACGGCAGTGGCCCCGTGACCTTTTGTAACATGTATATACTGGAGTTCTGGCAATGGCCAGATTCTCCACTCAAGTCATGAGTGTCCGTGGTTGTAGCACCCTTACTCAATCTCCACTGGCTTTCAATGCCAGTGACATGGTTGAGGAAGAAGCGCAGGGATCTCCTAAAGCCTTGCTTTCCCTCCACGTGTGGGGGGATAAGTATGGTTTGGAGTTCCTATGGCCGACTGTAAATAGTGTAATAGGTATGCCTGCGTCTAAGATGTTTATTTTCATTTTTTTTTTTTTTTCTCACTATGATATTTTATTTTGTTCTTTTGTAGCCTTATATTATTTGAAGTTAGCTTATTTTTTTTTATTTATTTATATTTTTTTAATTTGTAAATATGGTGTGAATGTGCTCTCAGAACTCTATTGTAAATGTCCTTTATTGAGACAGATTGTAATATTTATCAATAAACCATTATAATAAAAAAAAAAAGTTTCTTTCTGTTTTTCGAAAGTAAGGCTGAAGCCCCCCCCCCAAGATTAAATCCTGGATCCGTTAGTGGTTTAGATTATAAACATTGGCAGATAGCAGTCGATCCCGACCAGCTACTAGACAAGTACCAAAAAACTTTATATAAATTAAAAATATTTTTAAAAAACACGTTGGCGCGCATGATTTTTGTTTGTGAAGGATTCTTAATCGTATTATGCATTTAACAATGATCAAAGCTCTGCATAATCACTTTCATTGCTTTTGAATCTCTCTCCTCTTAGAAATTCTTTCCAGGACGCCATAAAATAGCAACAAATGCTTGACTGGAAATAAGATTTTTGAAAGTAAGGTCACGTGTAATTTCGCAGCCCAATTTTTTCACCTATCACTGACCTCTAATAAAATTCAACATTTTGTAACTAGTAAAATACGGTTATGATCAGAGCTCAGGTTTTGTTTCAATATCCAAAAAAATCGATGTACTCAGATGTAATTAGCAAAATTGTATTTGCTCCTTTCAATCCTGTCCCACCAGATCCCGTGCGTCTGATCTCTATCCTCCTCCTAACCGAACTGCTGTGTTTGATAAATCCTTTTTAATTCAAGTCGTCTCCCTCTAGAACTCTATACCCTCAGATATTCGACACGCAAAATCAATATTCTCTTTCAAATCTCTCCTCTTCAAACACCTACTCGATTCCCAATCCGATTGATCATGAAATGCATTTAAAAACCTAAGCTGTAAGAACCTCAAAGTAAACCCAGATACTTTGATTATTTTGTGATTCATTGATATTTTGTTAACTTAATTAACTTTCTCTGTTTATTTATATTTATACACGTTTTTATATCTATTTATTATCTATGATTTTATTGTATTCGTAATCATCCTGTAAATATTTGATTGTATTTTATGAACACACCAGAATATTAATTTATATTCTGTATTTGTAACTTGTTCTAAAAGGACACTAGTCTCAGAATAATAAAATTATTTTCATTCATTCATATTTGATGAAAAATCAACAACATTATTGCATATTTTGATTATTTAAAGTAAGCAAAAAAAAATTTTTTTTTAATTCAACAATAAAGACTAAATTCCAGATTACAATTGTAGGCAATTTATCAGAAGAGAACCAATCCATATTACACATATTTTGAGTAAACTCAAGTCAAAGTTAAATGGCCCTGGAAATCTGGAAGCTTTTAAATAAGTATATTTTATTTTTTGTCACTAACCTAATCTTATTCTACATTTTATCCAACCCCAAAATATTGCTATAATATCAATATATTGATGAAATTTCCACATCATGGTGATTTTGGTTATTTAATAAAAAATAAAAACCAATTTCAATATTTTTGCATCTTAAAGATACTTAAACCAATAGATTGTTCTTTTCTGTTGAAAATGGTCAGGAATTTTTCAATTGAAAACCACATTTAACTCATTTCTGCATATTTTGTGAATTGGTTCTCTACTGCTATATGTTCTCCTATTGTGGCTTCATTTTCAATATACAAATCAACACAGTAGCATTACCTTCAATAATTTATTTCTTATTTATTTATTTAGTTTAAATTTCAATTGTTTAAGGGAAAACAGCTGTATTTGCATTTATTATATGCTATTTTCTCAGTTAGTTAGTAATCTATTAAAGTTATTGTGGAGCCGAGTTATTTGAATCTTTGAACAATCAGAAACGCTTTTTCATCTGTTGGGATGGATTTTTTTTGACTTACAACCATATATTTGTTATATCTTCCTTTACTAGTCGGATGATTCGTTCTTCTTTTCTTAATTTTCTCTTGATTGCTTCTGAGGACTGCATACACTAGGATTTTATGATTCATTCTGATCTGCAATTCTCCATTTTCAAGAATTATTGGGGATTACTTGAGACGGAAAATAGTAACTCTTTTTAATAACTTAATTTTACCTTAAACTTTAAACAGAAATGTATTAGTATATAAAGTATTAATTATCTTTTTATTTATTTATTAGAAATAAACCTGTGTTAATTGAATGGAAACGACTAGAAAATCCTCAGGTGGAAGTAACAAATACATCCATTGATGTAGCTGCAACACAATTGTCTGCTTACATAGGAGCTCTCAACTATGATGATACTTATAAATTTCAGGTAAGAGCAATTAAAGTTATTACACATTTTTTATTAAATATTTCATAAAAAAAAAAAAAAACTCATTTAACTCACTATATGAAGATCAAAACAACTGAAAAAACAAATACAAATATTTTAATATCCCCTCTTCATATTTCTAGCCCTTTGAATAGGAGTAATTATTAAAAATGAGATTATTGGTATAATTAAAGGAGTAATTAAATAGTTAACTAACCAATTCATTTTAGCAGAAATTAGAACAATAGAAAAATTAAATAAACCATGTAGTTAATAACTAAACTATTTTATATAAATGCAAAGCAAGCATTGAACAGTATATGGGATGGAATCATAATGCATAATCATAAATCAAAGTATTAAAACATCCGGCTGAAACTTCGTAAATAACTTCATCTCATTGTAATCTACAAATAGTTTATTTACGAAAATTCTCCGAATTGGGGCGTTTTCAATCTGGAGGTCAGCAAACTTTGTCCATTTAATTAGGTACTGAAAACTCGTAAATACTCATTTGCTTTTACATTGAATCGTAAGATAACTTGAGCACAAAGTCGAGAAAAAAGGCGACCTTCAAAAATATTAAGCCATTTGGCGTGACTTACACCTCCAAATTGTCAAAATAACGAGGTTATATACGCTAAACGGCTCAATATTTTTGAAGGCCACCTTTTTTCTCGACTTTGTGCTGAAGTTATCTTTCGATTCAAGTTAAAAGGAAATCGGTATTTACGAGTTTTTTGTACCTAATGAAATGGTACCTAATAATCCCGATTCTCAAATTTTCACATGAACCTAATCCACCATCCTAACCCTTTAGCACAATCCTTATCTAGCTCCAGTCATCCCTACAACCCTCCTCGAAGGTTGAAACGGCAGTGGCCTCGAGATCTCTTGTAAAGACGTCACTGGAGTTCTGGCAATGGCCAGCTTCTCCACTCAAGTCATGAGTGTTTGTGGTTTTAGTGCCCTCTCTCAGTCTCCACCGGACTGGTAATGCCGGCGATGCGGATGAGAGAGAAGCGCTGGGATCTCTTAGAGTCTTGCTTTTTCCTTCACACGTGGGGGAAAGGGCTGGACTCGGAGATCTCTTACCTAATTGTAAATATTGTATTTAAGTATGAATGTTTTTCTATTTATTTCTATTACTTATAATTTATTTAATTTTGCTACGAATTTCTGTATTTCATTTAATTTTAACTCTTAGTTACATTTCCTAGTTTATTATAGTTTTTGCCTTTGTTATATAGATTTTTATATTTTTTATTTTTTTACTTATTTATTATTATTATTATTATTTTTTTTTTTTTATGTATTGTATATATGGTATGAATGTGCCCTCTCTCAGCCTTAATACTCAGTGCCCTTAAGTGTGGCAAAATGTATTATTACTCAATAAACAGATAGATAAAAAAAAAAAAAAAAATGAAATGGAAAAAGTTTGCCGACCTTCAGATTGAAAACGCCCCAATTCGGAGAATTTTCGTAAATAAAATATTTGTAGGTTACGATGAAATGAAACTATTTACGAAATTTTAGGCAGATGTTAATAATTTGATAAAAAGGGATCTGTACCACGGACTATAATACATTAAACGGCTATGAAAATCATATGGTGATTAATTATTTTAAATAATGTTTCGTACGGTTTATAATTTTTACTTTCACTTCCCTTTGTCTGAAAATACTTATTTCTGCTTAGAAGAGGGTGGTAAGTGAAAGTTGTGTGATGCGCACACCGCATTTTTGTGTATGGGGCATATATCGGCATATATCAGTTTAAGCTTATTCAGATTTCTATTCTACTCTAGAAAGCCTAGAGGTAATAGAAGAAGAAGAAATAGAAGACACAATCCAGACCAAAGCAGGAAAGGTACCGGGAAGGGATGGTATCGCCCCAGAATGTTTGAAATATGGTGGAAATGAACTCCTTAAAGTCCTTCAAAAGTTTTTTCAGTTAGTATATGATAGAAAATTCCCGAGGATTTAGAATATAGCATAATCCTTCCAATTCATAAAAAAGGCAGTTCAACGGACTGCAATAACTATAGACCCATCAGTCTGCTCTCTGTGGTCTATAAATTATATTATAATTATATTATATATACCTCTATATTAGAAAGGAGGCTCCGGCAGATTGTGGAGGGACAGCTAGAAAGTGAACAGGCTGGTTTCCGTCCTGGCCGGCAGACTCAGGACCATCGCTGAAAAGGCCTGGGACAGGAACAAAAACCTGCACCTGGCATTTCTTGATCTAATGGAAGCGTTTTACTCAGTTCCTAGGAAAGAAATCTGGAAGGCTTTGGTTGCCAAGGGCGTGCCTGGAGATTTGATTGAGGCCATGAAATCAACCTACCAGGGAGCCACTGGAGTGGTAAGGATAAATGGCACAGAATCAGACTCTTTCCCAATTGTAAGAGGAGTCAGACAGGGAGATAGTTTAAGCCCCCTCCTGTTTATAAACTTTATTGACGAGATCCATAAAATCTGTAAGCATCGGACTGCATGGACTACAATTGGAAACTGGAATATGAGAACTGTCCTAGTACAGAGCTTTTTATATGCGGATGACATTGTGATCATCGCCGATTCCAAGACGAAACTACAGCAAGCACTGGTAGAATAGGAAGAAGAGCTGCTGAGGAAAGGTATGCAAATAAATGCCTCCAAAAGTAAATTGATGATTATGGCGACAGAAGAAGAGGAAGACGTCCAATTGGTTTGCAACGGAGAGATTCTTGAGATAGCAAAGGAGTACACATACTTAGGTACCATAATTACTAACACTGGTAAGATAGATGCTGAGATTTTGTATAGAATATCTAAGGCGAATCAAGTATATCACCAGATCGCTAGCAGTATCCTCAGCTGCCGTGAAGTGGATAAAAATACAAAGATGCATGTATTTAAGTCTGTACACCTTCCTATTCTCACCTACGGCGGAGAAAGTGGGACTATGTTGGACAAACATTATAGTCGCTTCACAGCAGCGGAAATGCGATTCCTACGTAGATCGGTGGGCAAAACTAGGAGGGATCGTATTAGAAATGAAACTATCAGAGAACAGCTTGAAGTGCCTGAACTCAAAACCACCTTGGAGAACAGGCAATTAAGATGGTTTGGACATGTCTGCCGCATGGACGAGAACATGGACCCTATAAAGATATTAGAGGCTCGACCCACAAATCCTTCAAACAAATGAAGCTGTTAAGCAGAGACCGGGAAGAGTGGCTGCGCTGGATAGAGGCTCCTCGACGCTAGAAATGGCATTGTGAGGAAGGCAAAGAAGAAGAAGAGATTTCTACAGTATCATAACTTTTATTACTCTACCAATCTTAAATAAAATAAGGTCATAAGGCGGATAAATTGGATCAAATTGGTGTTTATGTTGTTCCCTTGACGAATAATTGATGCATTTATGGGCAATAAAAATAAATTTATGAGCAGTAATATTCTACGTGGAAGAGGGCAAAATATATTGGTTTAAAAGGATGACCAGAAAATTGTTGAATTGTGCACAAAAAAAAAAAAAAAAAAAAAGTAATCAAACTACTAATCTTGTTAAAATAAGGTCGTGAGGCTGATATATCGCCATTTGCCCAAATTAGGAAAAGGGGAAGGTCAGAAAAAAGAAAATAATAAAAATTGGTCCAACTCTACCAACCCATTTTCATTAAAATATAAGGTCATAAGGCCGATATATCGGTTTAAAAGAATGACCAGAAAATTGTGCAGTGGTACACACACACAAAAAAAAAAAAAAAGAAGAAATCAAACTACTAATCTTGATAAAATAAGGTTGAGGCAAGGTAATAAGGTAAATAAAGTAATGTATATCAGTATTTGCCCAAATTAGGAGAAGAGATTGGCAATAAAAAAGAAATTAAATAAAAGTTGGTCTAACTCTACCAACCCAATTTCATTAAAATAAGGTCATAAGGCCGATATTTCGGTCTTTAGGTTATCCTTATCTGCTGAAAATCTGAGGAGAGGATAAGCAAATAAAAGAAAAAAAAAACTATTGTTAGTCAAACTCTACCAATCTTAATAAAATAAGGTCATAAGGCCGATATATCGGTCTTGGATTAAATTTATGTTTATGTTGATCCCTTGACGAATGATTGACACATTTATGAGCAATAAGAACAATATTCTATGTGGAAGAGAGACTGATATATCGGTTTAAAAGGATGACAAGAAAATTGTGCAGTGGCACAGACACAAAAAAAAAAAAGATAAAAAAGAAGAAATCAAACTACTAATCTTGATAAAATAAAGTGTGAGGGGATATATCGTATTTGCCCAAATTAGGTGAAGGGAAGGGCCAGAAAAAATAAATTAAATAAAAATTATTCCAATTCTACCAACCCAATTTCATTAAAATAAGGTCTTTAGGATATCTGTCTCTGCTGGAAATCCACAAAAAAAAAAGGAAAAAATAAATAAAATAAGCTGATGATATATCGGCAAATCGGTGTGATAATAATATCGGTATTGGTCGATCTCTAGTATCTACTTAACTGTTTAATTTTATCAAAGATATTCTTCTTATTAATAATAAAGCAACATTAATTTTCTGCTCTCCCAGTAATATTATAAGGAGGCCCAGTTTATTCTCTCAGCTTTTCCCATTAGATACTGAATATCTGTTTCATGGAAATTATTTTTATACAAATCTATATATATTTTTTTGTTTTTGAACAGATATCTGGAGGGTTACTAGTGTTGGCATACAATGATGGAAGTGATGCTGAAGTAATTGAAATTAATAATGAACAGTGCAATAAGCACTGGAAAATATGGCTAAAAAGACTACAATTATATCATGAAATGTCTAGAAAAAAAGCAATGTGAATGTGTTAGAAAATTGTTCCATTTGCCGATAGAGCTGTAAAATAAACTGTTATAGAATAGTGTCATTATTTATTTGAAGAATGCTTAATAAATAAAATAATCCAGAAAACTAGCCTCTTTAAAATACTTATATTGACGATATATGCGCAGCATGTTTTCAAAGATTATAATACAGTAAGTATATTGTTATGATAAATTTTTATCAGGATTTAAAAAATTTAGTATATGATGTCATATAATATGCCATCAAATATAACCAAATAATGAAAAAATAAAAAATAGAGAAAAATATTGCGCCATAAACACATTTCCATTTATTCTTTTTTTTGGGGAAGTTTTAGGTTATACTAATGTGGTTGGCAAATATAACTTCATTTGTTACTTATATGTTTTCTTTATTTGTCACATAGTGTCAAATGTTGACGTTTCGGGAATATATTTCTCATCATCAGTGTTTTTTTCACATTCTTTACTACAATCTTTTTTTTTTTTTTGTCTCTCCTTTTAGGCTACAGAGGGTTTTTGCTGGGCCAGGGGAGAAGGCGGGGAATTATGTGGCATCAAAAGTCCCACCAGGCTACGGGATTTGAACTCGTAATTATTTTTCTATCTCAAACTTAAGTTATCAGGTTGCCGGGCAATGCACGGTGCTGTACACACAGGTTAGACCTCTCGGCCACCCTGCCTCCGCGGTTTTCTACAATCTTAGAATTAATTATAAATATATATTTAACTTAATTATACATTGCTGTGATTTAAAATTTAATTTATCTATTTTGTTAGCGTGCTCTCTCGGTCACAATAGTTTTGTTTTTACTTTTTCCGACATTTCTCCCACAGACCTTATTACTGTCATAATGAAATCGTGTTCCAATTCCGTAGGCCCAGATGGCATTCCTATCAAACTAATAAAATTATGTCTCACTGAAATCCTCCCAGCACTCCTTTTCATCTACAATTTCTTCCTGCAGAATTCAATATTCCCGACCTCTTGGAAAAAAGCCATTGTCCTTCCTTTAAACAAAAAGCCTAATCCATCCTCTCCCGAAGATTTCCGCCCAATATCAATCCTTTCCAATTTTTCGAAACCCCTAGAAAGGTTAGTGCAATCCCAAGTTTCCAATTTCCTTGAACAATCCAACCAACTCGATCCTCTCCAATCTGGCTTCCGTCCTGGCTACTCTACACAATCTGCTCTGATTAAAATTACCAGTGATATTCAGACTGCAATAGATGACAAAAAACTAACCATACTTATACTTCTTGATTTCTCCAAAGCTTTCTATTATCCATTCCATCCTTTTCAACAAATTAAAATCATTATCCTTCTCTAATAGTTCCATCTCTTGGTTCCAGTCTTTTCTCTCACAACGAACCCAAGCAGTTTCCATACCTAATCAACCTCTATCTACCTACCTTCCTTTATCCTCTGGAGTTGCACAGGGTTCAAGCATGTCTTTCAGCTCTTATATTAATGACCTAAATGATTCAATTATCCATTGTTCCCACCACCTTTATGCTGACGATTCTCAAATCTATTTATCCTTTTCTCCCGCTGAGTTATTGGTGGCATGTGCCAAAATTCAAGATTTAGATTGAATTGCCTGGGCCAACTTAAATGGATTAAGGCTAAATGCTGCCAAAACTCAGGCCATTCTCATTGGTTCCAAGCCCCTCCTTAGATCCCACACCTACTTTCCCTCACTCTATCTAAACAACCACCCCATCACCTTCTATCCCTTTGTTAAAAATTTAGGCTTTCTCATAGATCAAACCCTTTCCTGGAATCACCATATCTCTCATATATCCCGCCGTGCAATTTCTACCCTCAAACTATTCCATCACTTCCGCCATCTTCTACCCCAAAATACCCGTAGATTCCTAGTTTCCTCTCTCATCTTTCCCCACTTTGACTACAGCTGTGTTGTGTACGATGGCCTCTCAGTGGAACTCCGTGATAGACTCAAAAGACTTATGAATAGCTTCGTAAGATTTGTAATTGGGACCCCGAGACACTCCCGTGTCTCCCACCACTTCCCCTCCTTAAGAAGACAATATTTCCTAGGCACTTTCCTTTATCAAATCATTACTGATCATCGTCCTTCTTATGCCTACAACCTTCTCCAATTTAAGTCCTCAATCCATTCCCTCACTACAAGATCTCGACCCTCTGACCTATACATCCCTTCTCATAGATCTGCCTCATTCCAAAATTCCTTTATAGCCCGCTCTGTCAACTTTTGGAATTCCCTCCCGATCAAAATTCGACATGCCCCTTCGCTATACACATTCAAAAACCTCCTATTCCAAAAACAGTCAGATACCAGCTAATTATTAATATTATATATGTATTGTGCAGCAATCATATAATCATAATACTTGGTAAGAGATAGTATAGTACATGCATTTCCTACTATCAACGTAGGAATTTCAATACATACATTTTTTTTTTTTATTCAATTATTTATGAAATGAACTCATTCTATCTCTTTTTCGTTCTTCATTTCTCAAAGTGTATGTTTATGTTGTTCAACCCTTATATATAGTTTTGTTCATAGTTCAAGTGATTCATTTATAGTTTTAATTGTTTTGTTCATAATTTTAAATGCTCTGTACATAGTTTTATCTGTATTGTATATAGCATGTGCACCTAAGGTTTTCTTAACTTTTTATTTTATTTTATCAATTTTATTTATTGTTTCAAACGTTTAGGCCAGTAATATTCTATTATTTTGTACATTATTGTTATTCTGAAGGGACTTAGTCCCAGAATAAAGTATTTTTTCTATCTATCTATCGATATGAAAAATGGAAAAGGAAATGAGTACAGAAATAGCGTTAAGGGATCACAACTTTAAGTCTGTTGACCAGTTCAAGTACCTTGGAAGCCTGGTCACGTGCAATAATAAAATAGTGAGTGAAATAAAGGCCGCCAGGATCGCAGCAGGAAATAGATGCTATTTCTCACTGCAAAGTGACTTGAAGTTCAGATCACTCCCTAAAAGAAACAAAATTCTCATCTACAAAACCATAGTAAGACCAGTGGTTATGTATGGGTGTGGGAAGCTCAGAGCGCAGGCTCAATTCATAGGAGAGGAAAGTATTGACAAGAATATGGGGCGGAATCATTGAAAATGGAATTTGGAGAATAAGAAAGAATGAGGAGCTGCAAGAAATCATGAGATTTTTTTTGTTACATTCTTGGTTATTCCCGGAAGTTAGAAATTACTGGATCAGAAGAGAGTGAAAAATATTGGTATTGCTGTAAACTCTTAAGACCTTTCATTAAAAGTGTCTTCATGTTTGCTTAAAATCGTTATTAAGAGCTTCTTGTGCCTCTTCATTCAACTGTCCAATAGCTAATAAATCATATGATGTGATGTTATATCAGGACCATGAATTACTCCAGCCATCTGATCTGAGGGCGCCCTCTACTTCTTTTGCAATCCGGCTTCTCATGCAGCATTCTCTTTGGCGTTCTTTCTACATGACCTAACCACCTGATTAAGGCTCCTTTTATCAATGCTACAATATCAGGTTCACCATAGAGTTCCCGCAGCTCCTCATTCTTTCTTATTCTCCAAATTCCATTCTCAATGATTCCGCCCCATATTCTTGTCAATACTTTCCTCTCCTAGGAATTGAGCCTGCGCTCTGAGCTTCCCACACCCATACATAACCACTGGTCTTACTATGGTTTTGTAGATGAAAATTTTGTTTCTTTTAGGGAGTGATCTGAACTTCAAGTCTCTTTGCAGTGAGAAATAGCATCTATTTCCTGCTGCAAATCCTGGCGGCCTTTATTTCACTCACTATTTTATTATTGCACGTGACCAGGCTTCCAAGGTACTTGAACTGGTCAACAGACCTAAAGTTGTGACCCCTTAACGCTATTTCTGTACTCATTTCCTTTTCCATTTTTCATATACACCGTCTTATTTCCATTAACTCTAAGGCCCAGTTTAGCCGCTGCTTCTTCAATTGCTAGAGTTAAACAATTTTATAAAAGCCCAACGTGGCCAAATAAATAATTTCTATCCAAAGTTGAGAGATAAGTGAAAGTTGTGTATTGCGTGAACCAGATTTTTTGTATAGCGGCAATACTTTTGAAATCCTCTTATTTTATTTAATTTTTGGTAAGTACTAAATTCTAAATTTTTTATGTTAATATAAGACAAAATTGGTAAAATTCATTCATCTCCTTGTTTACCTCTTCTCAGTGGAAACTACTCTGCAATGGGCAAATTCATGGTTCTTGGTTTTAGAGAGATTGCATTTAACACGTCTTTAGGATCCATTAATTTTCCAAATTATGTTGGGTAAATTAAAGAAATCACACTAATATTTAATAGCCATTTTATTAACAATAATTTATCTTAAAATAAAAATATATCTAAATTAATTAACAACAAACAGTATTTTAACAAATTTTTATAACAAAAAAATGTATATCTCTTAAACATGCTGCACAAAAGAACACTTTTAGTGATATAATATAGAACAAGAGCCAACACATTAATTAAAAAATAAAAAAAACAAAGAAAAATTTAATTAATGGTAGATAATTTTAAAGAACCGAATATAATAAAAAATTAACAAAGGTAAAATTATCAATAATCAAAAATATTATAAAATTATTTGAATAAAAACAAACCCAGAAGTAACCGAATATATAATAACAGTTATTTATGAGCAGTTATTATCTTGAAGAACGACTTCTTTCATCATATTTATAAGCATTGTATGTTATTAGTATCTTAAATATTAAAAAAGCTTAAATAATTTATTAAATTGGACTCATACAATAACCTTTAATAGATTACAAACATTATATTTTTTTTCTAAGCTCCCATATATTTTGCCTTAAAAGATAATAAAAAACTATTTTAAACCGTGAATGAGGTAGTAGTCGGTGTACCAAAAAATCTTATTTTTGTTTTCGAAATCAAATTATAAAAGTAAGCATTGTACAATCCTATACATCTTAATATTTTTTATATAGGGTATAATTAACAAAAATCTTTGAATAATTTATTATATTTAACAGTTTACATTTATAAGGAACAAATAAATGATAATAAAAAAATTAACCTACATTTATTTAAGGTGATAAATGCACATACAGACCGTTTTTATCTCTTCATGTAATATATTAAAAAACAAATAATAAATTAATATATTGTAGTATCAACTAAAGTTCAAACAATGTTTTTATTCTATATTTAATATAGAGATTAAGGGAAGTAAACTTTTAATTCAAAAACATTTTGTACTCGAAGGTATCCTGGTAACTAAATTTCCAAATAAAAAATCACCAAATTGCTAAGTATAGCTTATACCATTAAAATATTCAAAATGATGTCACTGATTTTATAAAAACCATTTTGTCGCTTTCTAAAAATCAATTCCTAAATTTATATAGCCCACACACTTTGCTAGATTAAATCCAAACAAATTTCTTTTGATACATTAGATAATATTTTAAGATTGGCCAATTATCACATAATTCAGCAAAGCATCAGTAAAAGGAAGCCCATAAGCTATAAAACACCTAATCCGCGATACAGATCCCTTTTTATCAAATTACTAACATCCTTCTAAAACTTAGTAAATAACTTCATCGTAACCTACAACTATTTTATTTACGAAAATTCTCAAAATTGGGTAGTTTTCAATCTGGAGATGAGCAAACTTCATCTATTTAATTAGGTACATACTCGTAAAAGCTCATTTGTTTTCCACTTCCATCTAAGATAATTTGAGCACAAAATCAAGAAAAAAAGTAGCCTTCAAAAATATCGAGGATATATAGGCCAAACGGCCTGATATTTTTGTAGGTCACCTTTTTTCTCGATTTTGTGCTCAAATTATCTTACCATCAAAGTGGAAAGTACCTAATTAAATAAACAAAGTTTGCCGATCTCCAGATTGAAAATTTTAGGTTACAATGAGATGAACCTATTTACGAAGTTTCAGGTGGATATTAAAAATTTGATAAAAAGGAATCTGTACCACAGACTAATAATAATAATAATAATAATAAGGCTCTTGTTATACACAATACAAAGAACAATTCTGAACCCTATACAAAAATACAATTTCTTTGGAATACATCATAATCAATTTTATACAGTAAACTTACTCTTATATATTCCTTTATCTGTCTCCTAAACATAAATAAAATATTTTCTTATTATAAAAAAAAAAAAAAAATCGTAATAGCCAATTACAGAGGCCATGCGAAATGTTTGGCTTGTTTACTTGCTCTCTTGACAGTAACAGGCTAAAAACTTAAGGGAGAACCTTGTAGGCTAGAGTAAAGGAAAAAGCTTCCCTCTTCTTTGTAACTTCATACAACAACCTTATCTCATAGCCACTGCCTTCATTTTTTTTCTTTTAATTTTATTTATTCTACATATTTTTATTTTAATAAATTAAAACTGCAGAAATTTATTATTATAATTGGACGAAAAGACGACTTGTAAAAGATGAAGTGTACTGTATAAAATCATTTATCTTTTAACATAAATTACATTTATAAACGTCATGCCTTCAATGGAGTAAAAGCAAATGACATCCACAACACATCTTAAATATTTTGGACGTTGATAACCATCTTTTGTCTTTAAAGTTATTCAAATTGTGGACTACAGATATAAGCTAGAGTTGTTCCACTATTCTATAAAGTATGAAATCTTAATCGATTCATTAAAGTAAGCATTAAAAAAATATTTTTTTTTTGGCGCCCATCATCGATTTCAACGTGAAGTTAAATGGATTAACAAGCGGTGTAGCGGACGATAGAAAATATATAAGCCATAATCATTTAACTACTAAATGACATTATTTGCACAACAAACATAAAATGTATAAATTTTGTTTTCCAATATGAGTACATTATTCGTTTTATCAACAATACAAGCTGATCAGTCGCTTATCATAAATGCATTAGCTTATCCACCTAAATTATCTTTTTAACAATATAAACTGGGATTCATAGTTAAAAAACTTTAATTAAATGACAAACAATTTAATGGTTAATCAAAAGTAATGAATGTTTGAGGAAAAAATTATTAATATTAGTGTAATTTGACAATATTTTAGCAGGAATTTTGATAGAGCCAAACAAACATTATACTTATTTTAAATATGATTTGTTGAGTAATTTAATAATTGGTTTAGGGCTTTATCTAGAGCAGTGATGATAAATCATAACTATACTTTTAAACCTCTTCGAACAAATAACTCCCAAATTGATACCTAAATATTTGTCTCTGAGAGATAAATAAACCCATCTGAATTGGCACTTAAGAAAATTCGTAAATGATATTTATATGTGGTCAAATAAAAAAGAACAGGTACATTTCAATATGCCATGCCCATATCTTAAAGTTATTATTTTATTTATTAATAAATTGTTTGTAGTCTTACGGACGATTGGAACAGTTTTATGATACAAAACAGAAAAGTTCTAATTATTCCTCGTCCCCCCCCCCAAAAAAAGTATAAACTATATAATAAGACAGAAAGGATAAACAAATTTCTCACTGATTAAGACTTGAGAATTACTATTATTTGAATTAGATTTTTTAAAGGCATGTTTAACTAAAATGGGCCTGTTATAACATTAAACAAATTTAAAGTGTTTCGTGTTAGTGGCTTGACATGATAATTTAAAACACAAGTTACACATTTGTAAAACAAATCGAGATAAGAATAAAATTTAAATAACTTTAAAAGAAAAAAAAAACCAACACTAATTTTACGAGCATTGACTTCTAAGATATTCTTATTCAAAAGATACGAGAAGGTATTGAATAAAAATCAGAACAGTTAATCTACAAATCAATTAAAATTGTTTTTATTTGTTACACAACCAACATTTAGCACAGAATAGTTTTATTTATAAAATAAATTTATATTTGTTTTGGAAAATATCTAAATTAACATTATTATCTTATCGTGGATAATACTGTCTTTGGTTCTCTTATAAAACTAAAAACCCAGCAAATGAAAAACTGAAATACTGTATTAAAAAAAAAAAAAAAACCATTCACACAACCAAAATAATTTTTTTTTACATTAAATATACTATTTTAAAAACATTTTGCTTCAAAAGTAATGGAAAACATGTAACTTATTACATAGAAATAATTATGCAAAAACCATTGATAATTAAATGATGGTAATAAAGATGATAAATGAGCAACAATAATAATATTTCAACAATACATAACCAGAATATTAACATGCTAATTAAATTTCAACACGTAATACTTTTTGAGAAACAAAAAAGGCAAGTAATATATATAAAGTTAACTACTAAAAATTTACTTGTCAGCGTACTTAAAACTTAACCGGGATCAAAAATAATACGTAAAACTAAAAGCTTGGTGGAAATTTCATAAAGAAATATTCGTAAAACCTAAATAAAAGATAACAAAATATATATATATATTTGCAACAAAGAAGTTAAAAGTGAAATGTTTTATTGATCTTCTGAAAAGTAGCTTTTTTACAAATTTGTTATTTAAATGTCGTGACAACAAAATAAGACCTTTTCATCAATTTATTGCATAATTTGAATATATAAACAATAGAATGTTGTATTTGGTCAGCTTTTTGATAAAATGAACAATTCGGACTTGAGAATGAGTTTGAATAATTATAAAGCTGGTTAATTATGTCTAGTTATTTCTTCATTTTACCGTCCCATAACATCCTGAAAACTACTAATTTTTTTTGAGATATCCGACTCTTCTTCATCTAAACTGACAATAAGTATTTGAGTTTTCTGCTTTAGTTATTAATAGAGGTAATAAGTTTCTTTAATATGTTATTTTTATATATGAAAAATAAAAAGGAATGTGATATCGTATAACTATTAGGTTTTAGTTAGGAACAGTTGATAACTCGACTCCAGCAATAGATGGGCATATACGGTCAAATTATACAGAAGACATGATCTATTTATTTTTGGGGACGAGGGAATAATAATAGTGTTAATATTTTTTAGTTTATAGTTTTGATCTTTCCTCATTAATTATTTTCTTCTCACTTATCGCCCATAAATCTAATTTAATAGACTCTCTCTCTTAAATGATTCTCTAATTCTGCTTTCCAAGACTGCTCAATACTTAGGTGTAACACTCTACAATAAACTTCTATTTAACAAAGACATAAATTTAAAATTAGAAAACTTTGTGTTTATTTTTAATTAATAAATTTAATATGTTTTACATAAAAAATGTGTTGCATAAAAGTGTACACATGAAGAAATTGTAAATATTGCAGTTGTAAAAATATGAAATAATAAATCATCTATATGTTTAAAAAAAATTATTTTATTATTATTATTATTATTATTTGGAGTTTCAGGAAATTTAAGGAAAAAAATACTATAAAAAAAATGAAAGAAAATTTATTTATAAAAAAATATTGAACATAAAGGAAGAAATTTTAATTAACTATAACTTATAACAGGATACATGGAATCGAATTATAGAAAAAGCAAATATAGAACTTATGCTTCTCAACCCTCAAGGTAGTTTGGTATTTTAGTTGGTTTAGGACTGAACCAATACTGGATAAAATATGAAAGCAGGTTAAAATTAAATTTAAAATGTTATTAATTTAAGTGATTGCTTCAATATAGAATCTATTATGTCTTATTTATACAATTTTAGATGCTCAAGGGGAGGGAGAATTTATCCCTGAAATGTCCAAATAAAAATAATATAGAACCAACTATAAATTATGAGTATTTATTTCTTAAATTAGATCTAGGGACAAGAAGCGAGGAGAAATTTTTTAATATTTATCATGTTCGTTATGACCAATAAATAAATATTATTTCTTGGCTGAATTTATATAATGGAGAACTGAAGTATTCTTAATAACATTCTGTATTTAAGCAAGTAGCTTAAAATGCTATTTATTATTATTTACCATTTTCATTATTTTTAAAGCATGCAATATTTTACTTACTTTTAAAGTTATCATAAAACTTTGAATAAAGATGATCTATTACACATAAATATTACACTGGTTATTTAACGAGTGAATACGTATTTTTTCTTCTATCACTCGGATTTTATGAATCCATAATAATCTTTCAATTATACAGATATAATAACTATAATGCTCTTTCATAAAATACATAAATCGTGCAAGTAGCAAGATAACGTAAATAAATAACCTAATAATTTAATAAATGGGGTTAAAATTAAATCTTATACTATATAAATCATTAAATTTTCAATAAGAGAATGGATTTTAACACAAAAAGTAATAATAGCACCTTTAAAAATAAAAAAAAATTAACTTGACTATTTATTAAAAAAAAAAAAAAAAAAAAGAGAAAATCTTTGAGATATAAATTTACAAAAATATTATTTACATTAAGGATTATATGTGCCCAGTAGAATTTGAAATACAATAGAAAATATATATATATATATATATGTGTACATATATTTATTTATGCTTTACTATATTAAAAACTTTATTATGATCTAGCACCCGTTTAATATCAAAAATCCTTAAAAGAGCTGCTATACCCTAAATATAAAAATGACAAGTTATCCACCCACTAACCCAAAATACTATATAATATATTTTTTTGGGCATATAATAATAAAATATTTAAAGGCCATAAATCACAAAATTTATACATATTTAATAAATATTTTAAAGATTATATTATTTAGGACTTTAGGAACAGAAAAAAAGTAAAGCAGATTAATATATATATATAAAAAAAAGTTTTAGAAACAATGTATTGCTTTCAAGTATCTCAAACGCATATTATTTTAAATAGATAAGCTAAAATTCTATAACACCATCACAAACAATAAAAATATTTCAAGCTGAATTTATAAAAATGTTCAGGTTCCATCGGCAATATTAATATTATACTAATAATCATATCGTATTTGTGAGGTTTTAAAATTATTTATATTATTATTAGTTCAAATAATTTTTTCAAAGCAGTATACAATATTGACATCAACATCATTAATTATTTAACAAAGATCTTAAAAAAATATTTTTTTATATGAGCAATATAACTTCAGTCCATATCTATTTCACATCGAGAAAAAAATAAAATAAAACAATTACCTTCCACAAATTTAAAATCATGAGTTAAAGTAAAACTGATGTTTCATGACAGATAAGTCAATACAACCATAACCTAATCAAGTTTCAGATAAATTAATAAATAATTTGATTGCATAAAAAAAAAAGAAGAAAGAATTAAAGGTAACTTTGACGATGCCATGGCGTGCTAAATATATAACTATCCTGAAAAATAATAAAAAGAAGTATTAAATGTATTAAAAAAATCCTGCATAAAATGTATTTTAACCTGGTTCGTCAGAAAAAAATAATTAATTCCTATTTTCCAATTAGTTAATAATATCTGAGGAGATAGCGACAGTTTTACCAACATACAATCATTTATGCTAAAAATTTAAAATGTTTCAAGTGAGGGGGGGAGAGAGAAGAGAGGGAGATAACAAAAACATAAAACTTAACTTTCAAAAGTAGTTATAAAAATTAAATTTAAATAAAACTAAATCTAGCATATAAAACGTATGAGATTCATAATTGTCTCTCATGAGCCTTTGAAACGGGAAGTAAAGGGCTTCTCTTTTTCTCGTCGGAAGAATCGGCAGTTTCAAATCCGGAATCTTCTTCCGACGGGAAAATCCTGGTAAGACCCTGGTTCAGAGACACTTTACTCCTTATACATCTAATAAGGCTTTCAAAGAAATTTGGGTATCCATCATAACCTGTAAAGAATAAATTTTATTCTAATATTAGCTGTTACCATTAATAGTTTACAAATTAAGTTGAAGAATAACTGATTGTTTCTTTCTAATAAAAAAATAGTCTGATGCAGTCTCTACTTTTGGTAGAAATTAAGTTAATAATAATAAGGCAAAAATAAATGATAATACTTATTTTGACATTTGCCGACGTTTCGACCTGAGGTTCAGGCCTTCATCAGAGCTAAGAAAAAGAACCAGATAACAAGGTATGAGAAACATGAGTAGTGTAGGTAAAAAAAAAAAATTAAAGTAAAATGAAGTTGGTAGAATGATGAAATAGTAAGAACTAAGAGATAAATAATAATAACCGTTACAAAGTGTGAAATGATGAAGTAAACATAATCAAAAAGGGTGACATAAGTATTAAAATGGGAATCTTAGAATAAAATGTAAAACAGAAAAAAGGAATATGAAGTTATATAAGAAGTGAAAATAAATAGTAAAATTAAGATATTGCAAATAGAACAGTTAGATAGAAAATTAAAATATTGTAAAGTCTATTAAACTCTTTATTACATTATACGTTGTCTGTACATTTTGATAGACTTTACAATATCTTAATTTACTATTTATTTTCACTTCTTATATAACTTCATATTCCTTTTTTTTTTTTCTGTTTTACATTTTATTCTAAGATTTTCATTTTAATAGTTATGTCACCTTTTTTGATTATGTTTACTTCATCATTCGACACTTTGTAACAGTTATTATTATTTATCTCTTACTTTATATTATTTATCTCTTACTATTGTCATTATTCTGTCAACTTCATTTTATTTTAATTTTTTTTAACCTACACTACTCATGTTTCTCATACCTTGTTATCTGGTTCTTTTTCTTAGCCCTGATGAAGGCCTGAACTTCAGGTCGAAACGTCGGCAAATGTCAAAATAAGTATTATCATTTATTTTTGCCTTCTTATTTGACTGATCACCCCAACTATTTTTCTCTTCATTATTCACGACAGTCAACCATTTACCCACAATTTATCGTTTTAGTTTATTACCAAATATAATATTAAATTACCTGGATAAGGATTTATATCTATTATGGCATGGCGACCAGTCTTATTCTCAACTACTATGTCGACACCAAGCAGATTCATCCCAAGAACTGCTGTTATTATCTCAACAATATGTCCCAGGGTCGCAGGGTCTGCTTTGGTAGGGCACTCTTCACCGGATTCGTCCTCATCCAGAACACTCAACGAGGAGCTCGAGTCCGATTTGGACACATCGTGGCTATTAAAATAGATTGTTTCTCTATCTAAAAACAAAAAAATAAAAATTTAACTTTGACTTGTATAAATAAAAAAATGAAAAGGGAAAAACTGGCATGATTAACTGATATAAATTAGCAAATTGCTCAATCTAAATAAGAAAATTACTATGCTCAATAATTATTGATCTTTTGAATCCAATAACGGAGGAAAGACGAACATGTGAAAACAACTGAGGGATCGCTCTTTCCTCCTGAGTATAAAAAGTTTTTTCGAACATTTTACAAGCACGGTTCACCCTGAACGCAATGATAAAACTCAGGAGTTACCTGACAGGCTGTAGAGAGAGATGATTTATGGTTGACTAGATATAGCAAAGAGTTATCACACATCACTTCTCTAGTCCATGGTACACACTTCTTTTTATCAAATTATTAACATCCGCCTTAAACTTCATGAATAGCTTTATTTCATTGTCACCTACAAATATTTTATTTGCGAAAATTCTCTGAATTGAAACGTTTCCAATCTGGAGATCAGCAAACTTTTTCTATTTAATTAGGTACTAAATACTCATAAATATCCCTTTGCTATCCACTTGAATCTTGAGATAATTTGTTTTGTTTTTTTCTGTTGGCATTATAGATCATGTAGATTTTTTGCCGCCTTAACAAGCCTGCTCCATCTCTACCTGTCTTGGACTATTTCTTTCCATTTATCTGCACTCAACTCTAATGCATTGATTCCATCTGCTTTTTGGCCTTACGCATGGTCTTTTGCCTTCTATTGAGGCATTGTTTGGGGTGACCTCCACCAGCTAAATAACGAGGTTATACAGCCCAAACGATCCAATATTTCCGTAAGCTACCTCTTGTTGTAATTTTGTGATATTATCTAATGATTTAAGAAAATTAGAAAGCAAATGGGTATTCATGAGTTTTTACTACCTAATTAAATAGATAAAGTTTGACGATATCCAGATTGAAAACGTCCTAATCTCGAGAATTTTCACAAATAAAATATTTGTAGGTTTAATAATTTGATAAAAAGGAGTCTGTATCACGGACTATTCTTTGTAGACTTTAAAGTCTCTTTAATAAAAGTCTAAAAATATTAAAAGCTAATTTTTTCTTTTCTTTAAAAGTTACTATTTCGCTAATACTGTCGGCGGCAGCAACCACCATTCCAAGTTGTCAACTGTTTATGTTTGGGTATTTATTTGAAACTGCTCACCGTAGCGTTTGAATTATGATGTTAGGTTTTGTCTGTACTATAAAATTTCAATATTAACCAGTCTGCCTGTATGTACACCTATGTAAAATGATGATTTCTTTTAATATTTTGAATAAAAAATATCAGCCTCATGATAGAAAGAATATGAAGAAATGTTATATTAAGAATGATGGTATATTGTCGTCACTAATTTTGAATTGATTACTCATTATTAGTATGATCATTTCAGTAATAAATATCATACCGTTGGTTTATTGCAGAAATTCAACAAGTATTATTTCATAAAATTAAATCACTAAGTACTTTGCTGAATCTCCCCCCCCCCACCCCTTTGGTAATCTGTAAATCAAGGCTTCAATTAAAAAAGATATATTGATTTTCAATGTTTGGATATGGGTATTTATTTGAGATTTTTCCATCCTAATTATTTAATTTAAATATAACACGAGTATGCCCACCACAACAGTTTTCCAAGCAATGTCAAAAACGATGAGGGATTGTATGGGCCAGAAGCAGAAAAGAAGATAGCAGAGGGACAATAATGCTGATGATCGTTTGACAAGTGAATACGTGCGATTACCACAACGTCCGGGCACTTTGAGAGATTTGACAGGTTAAAAATCGAGGATGGTGTATTTTCTGTGCACTAATGAGCCCGCTTAAGGTACTATTTCGCAGGCGCGGTCCACGAAAGTGACCGCTATTCCACGCTGCCAACCGCTGTTGGCATACCTATTTCGCTGAAACTGCTCACTGAAGTTGTTAAAACCTGCCTATAACCTTCGAACATTTAGCTGTATCTTCGAAGATAAAAAGGTAGACATAATATAATAATAAAAATGAACATCTCTGACTACCGCTTTTTTATTTGTGTTGGAAAAAGAAGAGAAAATGTTCATAAAGAGAAGGAATATCAGTATTTCGATGTGATGCTCATCATGAAAGTCCCTCTGATATTAGATATTATTAGTTTGAAAAGTAATAGTAATTAATACATAATTGATTAGTAATAAATATCATATATTTGTAATTAAATTCCAGCAGGCGATGTTTAATAGTTTTATCAATAGTAATCAGTAAATCACCACTTTAATTAAAAAATACAAATCGATTTTTCAATGGGTGGATTTAGTATTTACCTGACGATAAAATTTGTTGGATTCTTTAATTCATTTAATATCGTTTGGATTTAGGTATATTTGTATTTCGCTGTAAAATATTGCAGGTGGAATAAATAAATAAATAATCTTGTTACTTCAACCTTAAAAAAATAATTTACTATTGAATTGTTTCAGTTTTAAACAATATTTGTTATAATTTTGCCAGACTTGAAAGAAACATAGGAAATAAAACGTATCAACGTTACTGTTATCATCAAAACAATGCTCTGATATGATAACATAATCTACAACCGCCAACAGCTCCACTGATTCAAGAGGAGTCAGATACGAGCAGCTTAGATATGACATCATACCTAAACTGCCGAGCAGCGCCAGCGAAATAGTACCTTTAAAGGTTAATACTTCAAACCTACAAAAATTATTTTGTTGGGGTGGATGGAAAAAGCATAACAAGATGAATGTTATTATCAAAACTCTTCTCTGATGATAACGTGACCAACCTATAACAGCAGTACTGCCAACAGCTTCACTGCTTCAGGAGCAATCAGAAAGGAATAGCATAGATACGACGCCAAACCTAGAATGTCAACGAAATAGGCTTCTTTATATTTCAATAAAGCAATGCTTTAGCAGTAGGCACTGTGGAGACCCCAGCCTTCATGAAGTTTACGCGTCCACAACGACACTAAGTCATATTACTCGAGGCCTTCTGATCACTATACTAACTATACCTATCTTGACAGCGCGGTTGGCAGTATCAGTACCGAAATAGTAAATTTATGAAGATATTGGTGAACTTGACATGTACCTGATACTTTGTCCGAAATAAAAGAAACAATAGACAACAAAAACAAATATACTGAAAAACATTATTTTAAATTTTCTAAAAACATTAATTCTTTTGTAATGATGTAGAGATGGTTGACCGTTGATATAATATGAGAAGGAGTAGGTCGGGGGTGCGGTCAAATAAATACTAAATTAAAATATAGTAATTATTTTATTTTAATTTTGCCGACGTTTCGACCCACTTTGCAGGTCGTCTTCAGGGCTACAAAAGATACAAAACATGTTGAGAATAAAAATTAAATATAAGTAGATATAAAATAAGAAGAAGTTGTCAGATACAGAAATAAAAGATGATATCAGAGATATCATATTGAATAAGTGAATGTTATTCGTTATTGAATAAGTAATGTTATTCGATGTTATTGAAGGAGTAATATTATAACATTACTTATTCAATTTTCAATCTATTTATTCGTTAACATTCATTTTCTTTATCTGTTAACCCACAATTATCTAATGTAATCTCTATTAGTTTGTTATACACTTATTCCTTATCTTTTATCGAAATCTGCTTACTTTTAACTTACATTGCTATATTCTCCTTTTTTTTTTTATTTTTATTCATACTTATTTTCCATTTATTTGTATCTTCTACATATATAATACTTAATATTTAACTACATTGTCACCCACTATATCTCTGATATCATCTTTTATTTCTATATCTGACAACTTCTTCTTATTTCATATCTATTTATATTTAATTTTTATTCTGAACATGTTTTGTATCTTTTGTAGCCCTGAAGACGACCTGCAAAGTGGGTCGAACATCGGCAAAATTAAAATAAAATAATTACTATATTTTAATTTAGTATTTATCTGACCGCACCCCCGACTAACTCCTTCTCATATTAATTCTTTTGAGCGTATGCCCAATATGCCCAGCCCAATTTTAAGAGTTTAATCTACAAGAATACGACAAATGTTTAATTTTACCTGGATCAGGATAAAAGTTTTTTAATGAAGGCCTTTCCACTATGTGGTATTCTCCTCCGATAATAAATAATTTGTACAAAACTGCATTATGATTCACAAACGCATGAGCGACGCATGGTGGTTGGCAGTCCTTCAATCCCTTCTCGTTGAATACTATCGCCATCTGCATAAATAATACATGTAAAATTAAAATATAATAATATAAATTCTAATACAGCCAAACTGAATTTTCAGAACTTGACAAGAAGCTAAAAGAAACAGCCCTAATCTGTTGTTAATGTCCTTCATTCTTATAAGTTATAGCACATTTGAAACTCAAAAACCGTTTAAAAAATTTAATAAATACACATGTTTACCATTTGATCTGGTTTAAAGAAAGTTATACATTTACAGTGGGCAAAAAAAGTATTCATACATCCTGGTTTTTGGCCAAAATGGTTCACAACAATTTTTTTTCAACTTGAAACAACAGCAGATATCAATTACAAACTTTGTTTTGCATTAATTTTATGCAATGCCAAAATTAAAAATCTCTTATAAACTTAATATTTCAATAATTTGTACACAAAGAAAGTATTCGTACACTAGAGCAAATGTTAATGATATGATAATTTATGTTATTAAAACAGTGTTTTAACATTCTATTTATAACCCGTAACTCCAGAAGATTAAAGGATAACTCTGCACAAGAAATTGCTTGTTTAGTTCAGTACTAAAAAATATTTGTTTGGCAATAGATCATAGGTCTAAAGAATTGAGTTCTCATCTTAAAGAAGTATAATAATAATAATAATAATATAATCCAATAGTTTGCAGTATATTGGAAAAAAGTATCAGACTACTCAGTATCAGACTATCTCATATGACTGTGAAATACATTATAAAAAAATTTAAATCCGAATCAGTGAATAATAAATCCCGTCCAGGAGAGAAAACTCTTGTTGAAAATAAAAAAATCTCGTGAAATTGTGCTTAAAGTGGCAAAAAATCCCCAAATTAAGTGGTGGAGAGGTTACGGCTTACATGAATCTGGTTATAGAGACAGAGCAGTAAGTAAAGAAACTTTTATAAATGAAACAAACAGAAAAAAAAAAAGATCGGAGTTTGCCCGAGAACATGTAAATAAAGCCTACACATTTTGGGAAAATGTGTTGTTTTCGGATGAAAGCAAGTATAATATATTAGTATCAGACAGAAAAAAAATATATTTGGAGGAAAAAACGAAAGGCATTTGAACCACAAAATCTACAACCCACAGTAAAGCACGGAAGGGGCAGTATCATGGTTTGGCGGTGCATAGGTGGCAAAGGAGCCGGTAAACCAGCCTTTATTGACGGGATTATGAATGCTGACAAATATGTGAATGTCTTGTGATGCTATTTATATAATATAGAATACATATAAGTTTCAGCAGGAAAATGAGCCCAAGCACACGGACATAAAACCAAACAATGGTTGCTGTATAATGTTCGAAAAATTCTCAAAACCCCACAATCACAGGTTCTTAATCCAATTGAAAATTTATGGGCGCTACTGGAATTACAAATCCGAAAACATCCTTGTTCCTCTCGGGATGACTTAATGAACGATCTAAAAAAAATCTTGGGAAGAAAGTGGACCAGAGACGGAGGAGACTCAATACTGTGTTAAACGTAAAAGGGTACCCTGCTAAATATGGTGATCTTAATGCACCATATGTTTCCGATTTAGCTTAATCCAGAAACCTGTCCTTCCATAATAAACTTCTGAACCATCCGAACCCTTTTGTTTTCAACCTTGCTTCCTCTTCTATTCCTGATAACCCTCCAAGGTGTCTGAAAAGATGATGGCCTCGGGATCTTTTAATATAGAAATATAATTGCAGTGCTACCAATGGGTAGTTTCTCTAAATGCTGTACATGTCATGTTACTTGTTGTATTTATCATTCAATACAGCTGTAAGTTTCAAAAAAAGATTAGAGGGGGGTTAACCCACAAACAAAATAATACAACTAAAAGAAATTATCGCCCTTTATTATTATTATTATTTTTTTTTTTTGGTTCTTCCCTACCTCGCCTTTTAGGCACACGAAATTTTTCTGGGACAGCACCCAAGTTTTCCAAGGCCAAAGTATCACCCACCCACTTATCCAAAAAATAATGCCATTTCATTATTTTAAGAAAATTTGGGGAGGGGAGAGGAGTTAACCCTCTCCCCATTCCTAAAAAATTTAAAGTGTCCTCCCCCTTCCTACTTAAACATATAGCCAGAAATTTGGTAACGTAACTTCGAAACAGTTAAATGGTTAAATACTGCCATTCTATATTTAAAAAAAAATTAAAAGTGTTCTTCCTTTACTTCTCCCAAAAAAGTATCCCCACCTAACCAAACCTATTGCCATTATATCTTTATGCACTCGAAAAATTCTTAAAACCCCACAATCACAGGTTCTTAATCCAATTAAAAATTTATGGGCGCTACTGGAATTACAAATCCGAAAATATCCTTGTTCTTCTCGGGATGACTTAATGAACGATCTTAAAAAATTTTGGGAAGAAAGTAGACCATAGACCAAGGAGACTCAATACTGTGTTAAACGTGAAAGGGTACCCTAACCTAATAAATATTAAAATTAATTGAGATTGATATTTATTATATTTTCTTTGGGTTAGTTAAATGTACAAATATTTTTTTTTTTCAGACAGTATGAATTATACAATTTTACTTTTTTGTACAATTAATGGAAAATAAACTTTCTAATTGTTATCTACGTTACTTTATGTTGAAAACAAAAATAAAAAGATTTTTGGCAAAAACAAATAGTGTACAAATAATTTTTTTGGCCAATATAGGTAACTCACTCATTTTAGTCAAAAATAAAGTTAGATAGTGTTAGAATTTATATAATATATTATTCATAATCACTAGAGGGGTAACCCCTGTTAGTCTAATAGCGGACCACCCCGCATTTTACAAATAATACAACTTTTCATTTAATTGTACTACTCATTGCTCAAATTGTATAACTGTAATATACATGTATTCTATAGTTCAGATTGTATTACTTTTTATCAACATAAAATAAACGGAACAAAAACAGTTCAGAATAATTTTTAATTTATTTAAAAACCTATATTATAAACTACACCTTAATTCCAATTTATATTATTATATAATTATAATTTTTCTTATTGCTAATATTTGACCATAATCAGAGAGAAATAATTCCGAAAATAAGAAGTGTGGTATCTTCATTACGGTCCGCCACGCTTTGTATATGTAAAATAAAATACGACACTGTCACTAAAAATTTGTTTATATAATAGAGAGATGATATACAACGTTATTTTGGTTATTGATTACAAGTAAGATGTAGTAGGCATCCCCCTGTATTTACTCCATTAGTTGACATTGGGTGAGGGAATGAGAAGAAATATATAATATATAGGAATGTGAGGTTGCACTGTGAATTGAAACTCAATTGTGCAGTGGACAAATTGCTCATTGGAAAATCTCATATCGATAAACAATCGAAAATAAGAAAAAAGGTCTGATCAGGTAGCAACAGATGGCGGGGACGACGCCAAACACTGCAGGCCTGGACACCAACACAAGACGTCATCTGGGAGGAGAGGCTTACTCCATTGAAGACTAAGAATATCAAGCCTACAGTTATTAGACTTTAATGTATTCACTTATATCAGTTGTCAAAATAAATTGTTTTATTATACAGGAGTGAAAGTTATTTTATTTAGTTGTCCTATATGCCTCACAATTGAAGAATAAACCAGGTGAGTCAATTCATTCAAAGTGTTTACTAAGTCCCACATTTCATATATATATCTTATTGTTTCTTCTCACACAGTGTCATAAAAGATAATAGATCCCCGAATTCCCAATCACAGTTAAACACCCTCAAAAAGTCGACATCCAGTGCCGGGGTTTTGCTTTAATAATAATTCACGAGTGTAAATAACCTTAAGCCCCGATATAAAAGAGGAAGACTATTCGCTATTCCCGCCAAAACATCTTTATTTTTCATTTAACTTCCTGTAGGTTATTTACAAAGATCTTTATTTAATTTTTACATTAACCAATAATAGAATCAACATTTAAAAAACCACAAATACTTCAACCACGAACACATTTCATGGATAAAAATCTTTTTAACAAGAATTTTTTTTTTTTTATTTAGTTGTTTAACGTTTCAACTTTTATTAACCATTTATAACTTAAAAACATCTTAAAATAGCATACTATACATAATGTACTATATAATATATATATATAACCTAATATATCACTTGATGGTAGCACATGAAACATAATTATTTATTTAAATTATTTTGTAAATTCTAGTCATATTTTATTATTTTCTCTTCATTTCACTTTTTTCATTGATAGCCATTCAGTTAAATTAAAAAAAGTTAAAATAGTAAAATTATAATAGACTGACAGACAGGAAATATATAAAAAGTATTTTATTAACATATATTTTATATAATTAAATATTAATTTTTATTACATCAGGACTAAAACTCTATTAAAGATACTGTATTTGCTTGAAAATATGTCAACCCACTTCAGGAAAGAAATACAAAAATTTTGAATACAAATCTCCAAATTAAAAAAAAAAATTAAATAAGGCATTACATTGATAATTAATATCTTACGATACTTGAAAAATAAGAACACGAGGAATTTTTGAAATTAAAACATAATTACTAAAATTGAAATTATAGGATTGAGTTTTAAAGCTAATAACTTAATAATAATAGTAGTTTAATGAAAAAAGTTTTAAATTTGTTGGGATTTTTTTTATGAGAAAATTTTTTATTTAAACTACGAATATACGAAATTTTAAATGAAAACTCATTGGTTTTGTTATGGTTGGTTTAAGAATTTCGATTAAAAATAGTTTCTTGCCTGTGATTCTTTATCATTTCCTTTCGACCTTTATTTTTTACTATTAAAATTCATCTAAATAGTTTAGTGATCTCAAATCGGAATTTTAAGTAATATCTATGCCAGCTACTACTTTGATTTGCTATAAATTTTAATTTTGTTCTGAATGCTCGGTTTAAAAGTATGTTTGTCATAGATGTAAGCATATTATTTCCGATCCTGGATTGAAAAAAATCTTTTGTTGTTTTTTCTGTTCCAAAATTTGTGATGATAAAAAGACTTAAATCGACCTCATTCATTAATAATAAAAAGTTAATCAAGTCGCCCATCACAAGGGTAGAAATAATAATAAACTACAAAGTGAATTAAAATACCCCTCTCTCCCCGGAGTTAGATCGAACTCAAATTTTACTAAACGAATCAAAATATAAATTGAACATTCATTTTAGAGAAGAAAATTCTAAAAAACCTCCGGAAATGGGGCAATAATCAATTCAGTATTTAAATATTGGGATTAAGACCTAGTAGTTCATGATTTTTGATAAAATTTTATTAAAAAGTCATGAAATAATACTAAACTGTTAAAATCTAGAATCAAGAATTCAATACATCATCATATTTTAAAAGCAATTAATAAATATATAATATTTAATTATTAAAAAGTTTAATAGCAATTAAAACTTACATTATGACAATCTGTGCCATTGGCAACTGAAGGTTTGCAAACTGTAAAGAAATAAAAGTTCATATAACATGAGAAAATAAATCTACAAAAATATTTAGCTGAATTTGCATAAAGCCATTACCTACCAAATGGAAATTTAACACCAGCTTCCTTCAAGGTTTGCAAATTTACATGTATGTCGTTTGAAGTAAGTTCAACAAAAGGCGGAGTAAAAACGTCTGAAAAATGAATTTTTTTGTTAAAAATCTTTCGATTAAAATTATTTAAAAAAATACAATTAGTATTTTTTTAAAAATTCTAAATAAATATTAAAGATATTTAAAATTATACATGACTTAAACTTAAGTACAATAAATTGATAGTATTCCAATGTAATTAAGAACAGTTGTTAATGAATATTCATGAATGTATTAAAAAATAAAAATAAATAGATTATTCGTATACTATACTATTAAGTGATTATCGTTTTAACATTCCAATCATTACATTGGAATGAGAATCAAATATTCTTGCAAGCTCATTCTAAAAATACCAACAGGAGTTCTCATTATCAGGTAGGACTGGCAAAGATTTTCGGATCTGAATTGTAAACAAACTAATCTTGACAGCAAACTAAGCCGATAATACCAGTAATATTAAAATATCTTATTTATTAAAATGGGCCATATAGATATATATATATATATATATAAAAATGATAAAGTTAACAACACAAAAGTGAGAAAGAACTTCACTTAAAACAAACCTAATGAATCTTAATCGCTAGTCCATTAACAAATATTTTGTAAAGGTTAATCAATGCGTACTTGAAAAATAAAAATACGCTATTTATTTTAGAAGACATAATTAAAGCTATTTACTATACAATTGAATAAAGCTATTCAAAATTAAAAGAAAACAAATCTTGACAAACAAAATTTAACATTTTGTGCCTATTAAGCAAGCTAAGATAACTTCTTCATAAAAAGATAGATCAAAATTAAACAACCTTGACCTGAAATAAGTTTTCTCTCAATGATTGTTAAAATTTTGAACAGAAAAGCATAGTTCTTCTTCATGAAACATAATAAAGTAACTATTAATTTATAAGATAATAATAATTAAGAAAAACAAAAACAATCGTTTACCTATATTATGTAGATCACTATCATGTATCACCCTGTATGATGTGAATCTATCCAGGAGTTTTTTCACATTTTCCAAAGGATCAATTATAAGCACTTCTGGATGTTGTTTAATATAATTCTCAACATGTTCAATTATTTCACATGCCTTTAACAATAAAATTGACTTTATAGTTTCACTATATTAATAGAGAAGGCGTGGTTGTTAATAATATTTACCAAAGGAATACATGATATCAGCACTATTATTGTTTAATGAATAATATAGAACTATACAAAATATATTTTCATCAAAATTTTAAATTGGTTCGTGTCTGCAAGAGCTATGTATGGAATTCTGATTAACATACTAGGGCGTCCTTGCTTCAATGCCTTTTATAAATCACTTTCCTTTTTTTCAAAGATAAATATATTCAAATAAAAAATACACAACAATATAGAGTTTATTCAAACATTGTAAATGTTATGGCCAAGTTCTGGTTACAAATGTAATAAGAATCATAAGAAATGTTTATTAATGTCAAAGTATGAAGTACTCTTATCGTTTATTATTATAAAATAATAGTTGTAAAACTCTTATCATTAAAGAAACAACATCAAATGAATTGATGACAGCAAAACAAAACTACTATCAATAACTTTAATGCAATATCATTAATAACTAATGCATTACCCTTTTTTCTCCTTTCAATGACTGGGCAATAATGTCTGTTAACTTATGAATTATCACAGTAAATGGACCTTGTTCTTCCAACGGTCGATTCAAATCTACCTAAAACCAACCAGAAAACAGGAATCATGAATGGAACTAAACTACACCAAAGATAATTAACAAATCACTGTACTGTATTGTGGTTAAGTTAAAAATCACTATCATAACACTTGATAATGTGATAAAAACAAATATAAAAAATACCAAAAAACCACTACTTCAGATATAGAGATGAATTACCTTCACAAGATCAAACCCATGATTCCTGCAATAAAAACCTTGTTAAGAAAATTCGATGGAAATCTTTGAACAATAAATTACACCAGAAAAAAATATTTTAATTGTGTTATATAAAAATATATATGGATCTGAAAAAAAAACAAAAAAACTATACTACCTTACCTTGACACTTTGGCAAACTCAGACCAGTTTAATTTTTGGCTTTTTTTCTCCGACATCCAATACCCGATAATCTTTCTTTGCTTGTTTTTCGACGATTCCATTTCGTTCACTGACTTGTCCTATCTTTCATTTATCACACTGTATGATTTTTTAAAAACGAAATATGCACTAATAACTACCACATTAATCAACGTAACTATCTGTCTGTGGGATAGATTAACAAACTCGAAAAGGTTTTCGAAGTAACAGAATAGAAGTAACCGATCATCATCGAACAACGCCTGAAAAGCAACTGCGACTTGGTTAGAGAGGGGAGGCTCCTAGAGAGTTACATAAACATACACAAATACACGCGCACGCTAGTCTTTTATTATCGCAGTGTTGCTTTACGTTCCTTTTATAAAACTAAAACTTATTTTAAAAATAATATTATTTTTTAAATGAATAATTAAAAATAAATATTTCAATATCAAAAATAATAATGAAATAATAAATATTACAGTATATAAACTATTATCTATCATTAAATCTATTAATAAATGCATTAGTTTATATTGAGAATCTGATGACTAATGGCGTTATTATACAATGTTTATAATTATCATTTCCTAGAATATTTGTACAATATTGTGTAGTACATTATTATTAAAATTAATGTACTAAAATTGTATATAGGTATGTATGTGTTCTTTTTATTTATTTATTTTTAGGTTATTTTATCCTCATTTATTGTATATATATATATATATATATATATATATATATATATATATATATATATATATTATTTTTCTGTATAATTTATTTTATTTATTGTACATAGAGTGTGAACGTGATCTATGAACAATAAATGTCCTTCGAGACAGATTGTAATATTTGTCAATAAATAAGTTCAAATAGAATGTACTAAATACGTAATGTTGGAGAAATATCTAACACATCAATGACTAATACTTCTCAGATCTGCAATATTACACATACAGTGATGGAAAAAATTATTTGCACACGTTTTTATGAATAAAGTAGTTCAAGGAAACAAAACACTTCGCTTTCCTTTGCACAAATGAAAAGTAAATTTATTAAAAACTGAAAAAACCTTTTCACAAAAAAATAAAAACCCATCATAATCAAACAAAATAATTAAAGCAATAAAAGTGCTTGGAAAAAAGTATTTGCACACTTCCACATTTACAAGTTTATTTTAAATTTTAATAGTTTTAATATTTTGTAAATAGGCCATTTGCGTCAATAATTGCTTTTAGACGTCTGGGCATTGAATGCACTAGGTTTTTAATTAAATCTACGTTTATTTGTTCCCATTCTTGAACAAGAAGTTGTTTAAGGTGATGTCCACTAGTGATATGGTATTTTCTTACATTTTGGTCAAGAGTATGCCATAAATTTTCAATGATATTTATATCTGGTGACTGAGGAGGAGTGTGGAGCTGTCTTGGAACATTAAATATTAACCACTCCTTTGTTCTCCTCGCAGTATGTTTTGGATCGTTGTCCTGCTGGAAATAGTACTGATCCTGGATTCCCATTTTTTCGGCACCAACACGCAAATTACGTCGCAAAATGTTCACATAGCCTTCCGCATTTAAAATGCGTTCGATGCTCACAAGATATCCCACGCCATGGTAGGAAACACCCCCAAACCATAACATTTCCTCCAACATCCTTTACAGTTGTTAAAACAGTTTGCTTCTTTAGGACTTCATTACGATGTCGCCATATCGTCCTTCGACCATCTGAACCAAACAAATTAAATTTGCTTTCGTCAGAAAATATGACATGTACGTACTCCCTAGCAAAAACAAGGGGCTTTTTGCGAATCGTTTCACTGATGTATGGCTTCTTTCTTGGAACTCTACCATGGAGCCCTTCCGAATTCAGGGTATATCTAATTGTTCTGCTAATAACCTGAACTCCAGACGTTGATTGGGCCATGGTAGCCAGCTCCCGAGAACTTATAAGAGGAGTTTTAAGAGCTTCTTTTCTGATTTTCCTCTTCATTCTGGGAGTTAACTTTTTTGGACGCCCTTTACGCTCACTGTTTTCAGTTGAACCACGTTCTTCATACCTTTTTATGACGTATCTTACTGTAGAAAAATTCAACCCTAAGAAATCGGCAATTTTGCGATATGTTGTTTGCTAACTCTTGTTGCGGCACACAGTTCACTTGTCTTTGGCATGATAATTGTCTATTGACTAAAGGAAACTGATTGAAAGACTAGAGAATACTGGTAATAAACGATTAGAGATAAATTAGTAAACAAACCTATGACCTATGGACACAGGAGGATTAATGCCAAAGTAAACAGAGTTTGTGAGTCATAGTGTGCAAATACTGTTTTCCAAGTACTTTTATTGTTTTAATTTGTTTGTTTCATTATAGAATGTTGTCATTTTTTTCCAAAAGGTTTTTTTCAGTTTTTAGCAAATGTACTTTTAATTTTTGCAGAGGAAAGCGAAGTTTTTTTGGTTCCTTGAACTCATTTATTCATAAAAACATGATGTGCAAATAATTTTTTCCATCATTGTAGCTATTAATAGTTTATAACTAATTTTCAATTACTAAAGACAAAAATATCACAAACCAATTACGAAATATATGTTCCTTGAACTAGCATACCGAGCGGAAATCTTAAACAGTCTTTTTAGCTCCAGACCTTCCTAAACATATCTAATTAATCGTGTTCCTTTATTCATCGATTGAATTAACGACGGCTAAAGAAGTTCTATCATATTTTGGAGTCCATGTTTTGGGCCATTTCCTAAACTTAACACTGAACTCATCTATGGCATCATTTCGTCTAGTTTAGAAACGATTCTGTTGACATCGATGGAGCAATAAATGTAATTAAGCGCGTTCCTTCATTCACAGGCGGATCTTCGGGGGATTGGGATCTGGGGAGGTTTCGTGCTGAAGACCTCCCAAAATGATAAAATGTAATCATGATGTATGGTGAAAAATATACTGTATATATGAAAAAAACTATACCTGTACCGCTACAACCCACAAAGGGTCTGGGGTTCAGTACTATTTAGGGAAAGCACTGTTTCTAGGTCAACGGTTGTGCAAGGAGGTGATTTGACCGAGATCACGCCAGGATTTCCCCCTTAATTAATTATTTAATTAAGGGTACCCACTTTATAGAGGCTGGGTGTGCCCCAGGAGGAGATTTTTCACTTTTATGTATTTCCTAACGATCCAGGAATGGTAACCTTCCACCACGGGCGGATCTACAGGGGGGGGGGAGAAGGCTTTCGGGCTACAGCCCCCTCCCCCCAAATGGTAAAATATAACCATGTTTTATCGAAAAAAATATTAAAAAAGTATCTCTTAAAGTATTATTGTTCGTGTAATTACATTTAAAAGGGCTTTAGGAATCACTTAAACACCATTTCATATAGGTAGTTAGTTTCTTTCTTTTTTTCCAAAGTAATTATCGTTATTTTTATGATAAAAACAACTTTCGGGCTTAAGCCCCCCCCCAAAAATAAATTCTGGATCCGCTAGTGCCTTCCACTGGATCCAGCATGTCGTTTCCTGACTCAGTGTTAAATCCCTGTACGTCGGGTTATTAGCATTCGTACGATGATTCTCATAGTTGTATTTATTTTGTTAAGGTGAATTTAGGCTAAGGTGATGTTTTTGTTGGGACAGCCACGATTTTTTAATATTAATATCCAACACCATTAAAGTATTCTTTGTACATATGTCTGCTATCAGAGATGTAGTTCATATAATTATGTAGATAACCATACGTTAGTACGATGTTTCTTTGATATGGAATAGGTGAACGGCTTTGTGAAACATTCCGAATCTTGAATCAAGAATCCCAAATACGTTTTCATATTATTATACACACCATAGGCAGATCTAGGAGGGGCTTTCGGGATGAAGCCTGCCTCCCCAAAAAATTATAACCATATTTTACAGAAAAAAAATATATATTAAAAACTATCTTTTAAAGTATTCTTGTTCGTGTAATTACATTAAATAGGACTTCAATAACCACTTAAACACCATTTCATATAGGCAATGAATTTCTTTCTTTTTTTTCGAATTAATTATCGTTGTATAAATATGAAAAAAAAGCTTTGGGGCTGAAGCTCCCTCCCCAAATTAAATCCTGGATCCGCTAATGATATACACCTTAGGTTTAATTATAATTGGTAATTGGTTGACTGTCGTGGATAATGAAGAGAAGAATAGTTGGGGTGGTCAGTCAAAAAGGAAGGCAAAAATAAATGATAATATTTATTTTTTACATATGCCGACGTTTCGACCTGAAGTTCAGGCCTTCATCAGGGCTAAGAAAATAACCAGATAACAAGGTATGAGAAACATAAGTAATAATGGTAAAAAAGATAATAAAAAATAAAAAAATAAAATAAAAAAATTAGAAAAATAAAATAGATAAATATAAAGTAAAATGAAATTGTGAAAATTTGAAAATGAAAATTTACAATATCTCAATTTTCTATCTAACTACTCCATTCTCAATGTTTTAATTTTACTATTTATTTTCATTTCTTATATAACTTCTATTTCTTTTTTATGTTTTACATTTTATTCTAAGATTCCCATTGTAACACTTTTGTAACGGTAACGGTTTTTATTATTTACCTCTTAGTTATTATTTATCTCTTAGTTTTTATTATTTATCTCTTAGTTCTTAGTCATTATTCTAACAATTTCATTTTACTTTATATTTATCTATTTTATTTTTCTAATTTTTTTATTTTATTTTTCTAATTTTTTTATTTTATTTTTTATTATCTTTTTTACCATCATTACTTATGTTTCTTATACCTTGTTATCTGGTTATTTTCTTAGCCCTGGTGAAGACCTGAACTTCAGGTCGAAACGTCGGCATATGTAAAAAATAAATATTATCATTTATTTTTGCCTTCCTTTTTAACTGACCACCCCAACTATTCTTCTCTTCATTAGGTTTAATTAGTTTATCTCTTCAAAAAATGATATCAAAAATCTTCCTCACGGTCCTAAAATAATATTATTAAAACTATTATAATAAATATCAACATGAGGTTCAATACGTTTAGTTTATTCAATGATTTAGTTACTCGCCTGACTTGCTGATTCAAGTTTTTGCAAATTGCAATATCAGCAGAATCGCTTCTAGTTATATAAGTAAAACTCCCTGTAGTATTAAGATACTAATTAAAAATGAAACCATCTTTCACTAAAAACAAATAAAAAGAGTGTAAACAATCGGTTAAGTAGAGTTTTACACACTTTTTAAAAATATTCTCTCTAAAGAGTCTTTAACACGGTCAATATTACTGAAGCAATATATTGAAGGGATACCTCGTACG